GTGAGCTGAGATTGCGCCACTGTACTTCAGCCTGGGTGACAGAGCAAGACTCCGTCTCAAAAAAAGAGCAGATAGGTCCATGCCTCCCCAGTGCCCTTAGGGTTGTATTTAAACTCCAACAAGCTCCTGTACCTACCACACTGAACTACTTGATGTTCCTAAAACAAATTTAAAGCAAATGTTATTCCCTCTGGCTGGAACACGGTTCTGCCACTACCAAGCTTCTCAACCTCTCAACTTTTCCTTCGAAACCCAGGCCAGGCTAGGCACAGTGGTCTGTAATCCCAGCGTGTTGGAAGGCCAAGGTGGGTGAAATCAGTTGAGCCCAGGAGTTCAAGACTAGCCTGGGCAACATGGTGAAACTCCATCTCTACAAAAAATGAAAAAATTAGCCAGGTGTGGCAGTATATACCTGTAGTCCCAGCTTCTTGGGAGGTTGAGGTGGGAGGATCACTTCAGCCCAGGAAATAGGGGCTGCAGTGAGCCGAGATTATGCCATTGCACTCCAGCCTGGGCGACAGAGTGAAACTCTGTCTCAAAAAAAAAAAAAAAAAAAAAAAAATGCCAGATGCAGTGGCTCATGCCTATAAGCCCAGCACTTTAGGAAACTGAGGCGGGCAGATCACTTAGGGCCAGGAGTTCGAGACCAGCCTGGTCAAAATGGTGAAATCCTATCTCTGCTAAAAATACAAAAGCTGGCCAGGCGTGGTGGTGTGCACCTGTAGTCTCAGCTACTTGGGAGGCTGAGCATGAGAATTGCTTGAAACCAGGAGGAGGAGGTTGCAGTGAGCCAAAATTGCGCCAGTGCACTCCAGCCTGGGGGACATATGCCTAGTATTATGTTAAGTAGTTTACATGGATAATGTGAGTTTTCCTGGAAACTCCATTTTCCTAAAGAGGAACCCAGGGCTCAGAGGTAGAGATTGATGGTACATCTGACAGCAGCATCTGTATTCTTAGTCACTTGCCCTCCTCTCATCTCCTGCCCCTCCCTTCTTTGTCCCAGACTTGCTCACATGTGCTCTAGCCGTAGCCTTCCCTAAGCCACTCTCTTCCTGTCTCCACCCTGGGCTTCCACAGCTGAGATTCCCCCATCCAGCCCTGATCCCTGTGCCTGTGCCTCCTGTCATAACCCTTAGCACTCTGGCCTGGGCTTCTCCCATCACAGCGCTGACCACTCTGAGCTGTCCTGGTTTAGGGGTATGTTTGTTATTATTCCATGCAACTGAAAGCTCTGTGAGGGCACAGATCAGAGCAACCCTGTGTCCCCAGCGTTGGTGGAGGCACAGGTATGGCCCACAGGAGGTCCCCAGTTGAGTGGGAGCTGACTGACTGACTGGTTTCTGAAGACCCCGGAGAATGGGATAGAACTGTGGTTACCCAGTGTCCAGGAGGCCTCTTACCAGGCAGAGCTCCAGCTGGTCACAGAGTGCGTAGAACTCCTCCAGGCACTTGTCAAAGCGCTGTATGGGTCCGTCACTGCTCTTTCTACAGACCAGGAAAAAAGGATGTCTGAAGAATTGACTTCTTATCTCTGGGACACCAGTATCTACCCAACCCAGTGTCTATCAGGAAACTAGGTACGGGCCCAGGAAATCTGAAGTAGTGGCTGAAAACAGAAGGGGTTTAAAAAAAAAAAAGAAAAGAAAAGGAGGCTGGGTGTGGTGGCTCACATCTGTAACCCCAGCACTTTGGGAGGCCGAAGCAGGTGGATCACCTGAGGTCAGGAGTTCGAGACCAGCCTGGCCAACATGGTGAAACCCTGTCTCTACTAAAAATACAAAAATTAGCCAGGTGTGGTGGCAAGCGCCTGTAGGCCCAGCTACTTGGGAGGCTGAGGAAGGAGAATCGCTTGAACCCAGGAGGTGGAGGTTGTAGTGAGTCAAGATCACACCACTGCACTCCAGTCTGGGTGACAGAGCAAGACTCCATCTCAAAAAAAAAGAAAGAAAAGGAAAAGGATGGGGGTGATGGCTCATGCCTGTCACCCCAGTACTTTGGGAGGCCAAAGTGGAAGGACTGGTTTGAACCCAGGAGTTTGAGACCAGCGTGGGCAACATGGTAAGACCCTGTCTCTAAAAAAACAACAACAAAAATAAAATAAAGAAAGAATACAGGCCGGACCTGGTGGCTCACGCCTGTAATCCCAGCACTTGGGAGGCCAAGGTGGGTGGATCATTAGGTCAGGAGTTCCATACCAGCCTGGCCAACATAGTGAAACCCTGTCTCTACTAAAAATACAAAAAAATTGGTCAGACATGGTGGCACACGCCTCTAGTCCCAGCTACTCAGGAGGCTGAGGCAAGAGAATCACTTGAACCTGGGAGGTGGAGGTTGTGGTGAGCTGAGATCACGCCACTGTACTCCAGCCTGGGCAAAAGAGTGAGACTCTGTCTCAAAAAAAAAAAAAAAAAAAAAAAAAAATAGGAGGACTGATTCATGAGGCTGAGAGGATTGTGTGAGGCCAGGAGTTTGAGACCAGCCTGGGCAACATAGCAAGACCTCGTCTCTATAAAAAAATTTTAAATAAATTAGCCACGCATGATTGGCTTGTGCCTGTAGTCCTGGCTACTTGAGAGGCTGAGGCAAGAGGATCACCTGAGCTCAGAAGTTCAAGGCTGCAATGAGCCAAGATCATGCCACTGTATTCCAGCCTGGGTGACAGAGGGAGACCCTGTCTCAAAAAAAAAAAAAACAAAACGGTGAGGTAGGCGAGCAACAGGGAGAAGGAAAGTTGAATGTCAAAGACTGGAGTGAAAAGAGAATACCCTGGGGAAGAGGGCTGTACTCACTGTCCATTGTCGATGTTAGTGTTCTGAATCAAGTTTTGGGCTGCAACCTTCATCAAAGTCTGGTCAAAACAAAAACAAAACATGTGGGAGGTGGAAAAACAAAAGGGAGTATCTGTGGCAGATCTCCACTGTTCCTTAAGATCACTCAATCTCAGGCCATCATTTCACCTGGCACCTTCTCTCCTGACGTTCCAAAGTAATACTCCTTTCCATTCCTATAGCTGTCACCACTCCACCTTCCTGGAGGCCTGCCCTCACCTGAGCTTCTCACCAATAACCTAAGGATTCTCCCTCATTAGCAATCAAGGGCAGAATCTCTGTATAAGCCAGTCCTCTCCTCAGCCTTTAATGACCAAGCCCAGTTTCTCCTTTAAACAACCCTTCACTCAAGTTCCAGCCAATCTCAAACTCAACATCAGTGCAGATGCCATTTCTGCAGAGCTTCACTTAGGTCTCACATAAAACAGGTTTTGGCCGGGTGGGGTGGCTCACGCCTGTAATCCCAGCATTTTGGAAGGCTGAGGCGGGTGGATCTCGAGGTCAGGAATTCGTGGTGGCATGCCCCCCTGTAATCCCAGCTATTTGAGAGGCTGAGACAGGAGAATCGCTTGAACCTGGGAGGTGGAGGTTGCAGCGAGCCGAAGATCACACTACTGCACTCCAGCCTAGGTGAGAGAGCGAAACTCTGCCTCAAAAATAAATAAATAAATAGGGCCGGGCACGGTGGCTCACGCTTGTAATCCCAGCACTTTGGGAGGCTGACGTAGGTGGATCAGAAGGTCAGGAGTCCGAGACCAGCCTGGCCAACATAGTGAAACCCCGTCTCTACTAAAATACAAAAATTAGCCAGGCGTGGTGGCACACGCCTGCGGTCCCAGCTACTCGGGAGGCTGAGGCAGGCGAATCGCTTGAACCCGGGAGTCGGAGGCCAGCCTCGGTGGCAGAGTGAGGCTCCGTCTCAAAAACAAACAAAAAAAGTTTTGTTTTTTTTTTTTGGCTGGGCGCGGTGGCTCACGCCTATAATCCCAGCACTTTGGGAGGCCGAAGTGGGTGGATCACGAGGTCAAAAGATCGAGACCATCCTGGTCAACGAGGTGAAACCCCGTCTCTACTAAAAATACAAAAATTAGCTGGGCATGGTGGTGCGCGCCTGTAGTCCCAACTACTCGGGAGGCTGAGGCAGGAGAATTGTTTGAACCCAGAAGGCGGAGGTTTCGGTGAGCTGAGATCGTGCCATTGCACTCCAGTCTGGGTAACAACAGCGAAACTCCGTCTCAAAAAAAAAAAAAAAAGTTTTTTTTTGTTGTTGCTTTTTTGAGGCGGGATTCTCGCTGTGTTGCCCAGGCTGGAGTGCAATGGCGCAATCTCGGCTCACTGCAACCTCCGCCTCCTGGGTTCAAGCAGTTCTTCCTCAGGTTCCAGAGTAGCTGGGATTACAGGCGCGTGCCACTATGCCCGAGTAATTTTTGTATTTTTAGTAGCGACGGGGTTTCACCAGGCTGGTCTTGAACTCCTGACCTCAACTGATCCACCCGCCTTGGCCTCCAAAAGTGCTGGGAACACAGGCGGGCGGCACTGCGCCAGGCCAATAGAACAGGTACTACTCCTCTTTCAGTTTAGCGCTCTCTCCGACTAACCTGGCCCTTGGCCCGCCCCTCTGAAGTTAGACTACCAAATCCCGTTTGTTTTTCGCTGCTTCCGGCCAATCACCTGTAGACTCTCCTTCAGCTGCGGTATGAGCATTTTATAACGCTGCACAGGATCGAAGTCCTGTTGCTGTTGCTGCAGAAGGCCGCTCTGGGCAGGGCCCACCAGTTGTGCTGGCGGTTGCGGCTGTTGCTGGGGACCCGGGCCGCCAGTCGAACTGGGACCCGATACGCCAGCAGCTGAGGAAGCCGCTGAAGCTTGCTGCTGGGATGCTGCCATCTTCCTCACGGACCGCCGGAAGTGCGTCACAAGTGTGTCTCTCCCGGTTGCTTTTCAGCATCCCCATCTCTAGTCCCCGTTTGCTAGATAGTCCCGCCTCTCAGGCAATTCAGCCAATGGAAGGAAAGGAGATGCCCTCACGTTCCGTCCCTCTCAAATCCGAGGTTCAGACTGAGATATCTTTCCACCAATCACAGAAGCATATCTCTCCCTCGCTCCGCCCTTCACCCAGGCGCTCGCCAATCCATATGTGGTTCCAATCCGGACTTCATTTCCCCGCAGGCGTTGCAGCCTGAGGAGACTCGTCGGGTCCTCAGCGTCTTGGCGGCAGCTGGTTGGAACAGCAGCTTCGAGTCCGTCCCCGGTGCTGCCTGCGTGTTCACCTGAGTCTCGCTGGAGCTCTTCTCGCCCGCCCACCTCATCTCAACGGACTTTCCGCGGAGAGCGGCGCCAACCCGGGCCTGCCTCGGATCAGGCGTCCCCTGAAGTCGGCACGCCCCTCCGCGTCCCGCTTCGGCCCCGCTAGGACCCCGTCCGGGCTGCCGTCGCCTCGTCGCTATGGCGCCCACCATCCAGACCCAGGCCCAGCGGGAGGATGGCCACAGGTAGGCGCCACGCTTTCCTCTCTGTTTCATCAAGGCGGAGGATCGGGAGAGGGTTTCTGCTGAACAACGTCACCAGCCCCCAGGTCTGCCCATGACGTCACGCAGCGCTCACCTTTGACGAAGGGGGCGAGTTTCTTCTGAGACGCAGGTGTTGCCCTCCTCCCCTGACGTGCAATTCAGGGATTAAGCTCTTGGAGACCTCTAGAAGGGATTCCTCCAGTCAAGTGTTTGAAGACCCCTCTTCCAAAGATGATTGAGTACATGGTTCTTTATGAAAACACTTGAAGCCATCCCCTGCAAAAGGGATTGAGCACTTGGCCTTGTTCATTAAAGCTTTTGGGTGCACTTCTTCCTAAAGAAATTGAACATTTGTCTCCCTCCATTAAAGCATTTGGCCACCCCCACCACTAAAACAAACCAGCATTTGTCACCCCTCCTACCTTTTGAAAGGTTGGAGAAGTCTTTTTCATTCTCCTGTCAATGCCGTCGTCTCCACCTATCACTGTTTCTTTCTTCTCTATTAGGCCCAATTCCCACCGGACTCTGCCTGAGAGGTGAGCCCCACTGTGGTTTCCCAGGAGCGGTAGGGCAGTAGGGCTGGGAGCAGAGGCTGGGCAGCGGGGGCCCATTTTGAGCCACCGTGTTCCTAGGTCTGGAGTGGTCTGCCGAGTCAAGTACTGCAATAGCCTCCCTGATATCCCCTTCGATCCCAAGTTCATCACCTACCCCTTCGACCAGAACAGGTGAGCCTAAGGAATGGGAACACTACTCAGGTATCAGTTCCTTGAAGGCAGGGACTGCTTGTCTTGGCTGCTGTTTGCTCAGGGCCTCGCACAGTACCCACCTAGCACATAATAGTAGCTGCTCAGTGTTTGTTAATGAATGGAGCAAGCAGTGTCCAACTCCCTTCCCACTGGGGAGCCAGCTTTCACACCCGCCATGGGGGACACTTCATTCTGAGTTCCTCCCCAGAGAAGTTTCGCCTCTGGGAAGCAGGGCTGTGAGGGCCGAAGCTGGAATCCAGACACCACAATAGGTGTTTCCCCTCCCAGGTTCGTCCAGTACAAAGCCACTTCCTTGGAGAAACAGCACAAACATGACCTCCTGACTGAGCCAGACCTGGGGGTCACCATTGATCTCATCAATCCTGACACCTACCGCATCGACCCCAATGGTGTGTGGGGAAACAGGGAGGGTCTGCTCTAGGTCAGCAAAGGTCCAGGCCTGGGCCTCCCTCATGGTCCTCCTGCCCCCTTGCTCTCCTCTAGTTCTTCTAGATCCAGCCGATGAGAAACTTTTGGAAGAGGAGATTCAGGCCCCTACCAGCTCCAAAAGGTGAGTGGGTGCCAAATGGGTACTGGTGACTGGCTCAGGTGGGCCCTACAAGTAGGAGGGCGGTGGGGTCCTGAGGTACCTGATTTCCTACCCCAGATCCCAGCAGCACGCAAAGGTGGTGCCATGGATGCGAAAGACAGAGTACATTTCCACTGAGTTCAACCGTTATGGCATTTCCAATGAGAAGCCTGAGGTCAAGTAAGTTGCAAATAGGAAGAGGGGGAAGGTGGAGATATCGGGTGTGTCCAGTGGCCACTAAAGGCCTTTTTTTTTCACTTGTAGGATTGGGGTTTCCGTGAAGCAGCAGTTTACCGAGGAAGAAATATACAAAGACAGGGATAGCCAGATCACAGCCATTGAGAAGACTTTTGAGGATGCCCAGAAATCAGTAATTGAGGGACTGGGATGGGGAGAGGCAAGGGTGTGGCTGCAGAGCTCTTCCTCAGCCTGTTTTTGCCCCACCAGATCTCCCAGCATTATAGCAAACCCAGAGTCACACCAGTGGAGGTCATGCCTGTCTTCCCAGACTTTAAGGTCAGGCCCAAGGTGGGTGGTAGGAAGGGACAGCCTCCCATTTGTGCCTGTTCCCCATCTAACCCCAGTGCCTACCATCTTCCTAGATGTGGATCAATCCATGTGCTCAGGTAATCTTTGACTCAGACCCAGCCCCCAAAGACACAAGTGGCGCAGCCGCATTGGAGATGATGTCTCAGGCCATGATTAGGTAGGTGGTCCTGCTGCCCACCTTAGCCTGCTCCTTGCTGCCTTTTGTCCTCACACTTCATTGCCACTCCTTTCTCCCCAAACAGGGGCATGATGGATGAGGAAGGGAACCAGTTTGTGGCCTATTTCCTGCCTGTAGAAGAGACGCTGAAGAAACGAAAGCGTGATCAGGAGGAGGAGATGGACTATGCACCAGATGATGTGTGCGTGGGCTGGGGTTAAGTTTTGGGGATTGAGAAGTGTGTCCCCTTTTCTCCCTCATAGGGAGGAAACGGGGCTGAACCTGTGCCTTCATTCTCAGGTATGACTACAAAATTGCTCGGGAGTACAACTGGAACGTGAAGAACAAAGCTAGCAAGGGCTATGAGGAAAACTACTTCTTCATTTTCCGAGAGGGTGATGGAGTTTACTACAATGAGTTGGAAACCAGGTACTTGGCACACTCCTATCTGATTAGCCTAGATGTGTGCTTCTTAAGACCCTGGTGCATGCAAGAGCCACCTTGGAGGTCATGTTACCTAAGAATTTGTTGTATGGCTGGGCACAGTGGCTCAAGCCTGTAATCCCAGCACTCTGGGAGGCCGAGGCGGGTGGATCACGAGGTCAAGAGATCGAGACCATCCTGGTCAACATGGTGAAACTCTGTCTCTACTAAAAGTACAAAAATTAGCTGGGCATGGTAGTGAGTGCCTGTAATCCCAGCTACTCAGGAGGCTGAGGCAGGAGAGTTGCCTGAACCCAGGAGGCGGAGGTTGTGGCGAGCCGAGATCGCGCCATTGCACTCCAAGTAATTCTCCTGCCTCAGCCTCCTGAGTAGCTGGGATCACAGGCATGTGCCAGCATGGCAGCTAATTTTTTTTGCATTTTTAGTAGAGACGGGGTTTCACCATGTTGAATGAGGCTTTGTGTGAAACTTATTTATATCTCTAATATAAAGAACTTAGGGATAAAAAAGATGGGGTTTTCTAACATGAGGATTAAGTCTACACTTCAAATTAAAAAGGCTTATGTTGGAAAAAAAAAAAGTGAGCTACTGCACCTGGCCAGAAAGAAAATCTTAATGCAGGAAACATTTAGAGCTTTTGTAGGGTAGAGGGCCAGATTTCTCAGTTATTAGTAACAGACTTCACATGAAAGTAAACATTGCCAAAGTATGGAGTGATATGAAATCAGCATGAATGTTTTAAATTAAATGCTTAATACCCATGTTCAAAAATGTGACCCCAAAACTTCCCTGATGGCTGCAAGTTTACTCCTGTGCCAATGCCTCTGGTTTAGAGTTGGGAAGGCTTGAGTTTCTGTTTAAAGCAGAAATCACAAGTTCTGATCCCATAGGCCAGGCAGGAAATGTAAACGAGCAGTGGCCTGGTAGAGTCTGGGTGACCTGGAGCTCTGGGCAACCATGGAGAGCATTATTCACATCCAGCCTACTGTGGCTATGCTGTGGGGCCAGAAATTCCTACTTTCCAAAAGACCCAAATCCAGATGATTTGACATTTCTTGGTTTCTCAGAGTGCTGGTAACTAATTCACATACACAGTCAGGCACTGCATGTTTCTGTCAACAATGGACTGCTTATGGGTGATCCCTTAAGATACAATACCGTTTTTATTTTTTTTGAGACAGAGTCTCGCTGTTGTTACCCAGGCTGGAGTGCAATGGCACGATCTCGGCTCACCGCAACCTCCGCCTCTTGGGTTCAAGCAATTGTCTTGCCTCAGCCTCCCGAGTAGCTGGGACTACAGGCGCGCACCACCATGCCCAGCTAATTTTTGTATTTTTAGTAGAGACGGGGTTTCACCTCATTGACCAGGATGGTCTCGATCTCTTGACCTCGTGATCCACCCGCTTCAGCCTCCCAAAGTGCTGGGATTATAGGCGTGAGCCACCGCGCCCGGCCTACTATATCTTTTCTTTTTCCTTTTTTTTTTTTTCTTTTAAAAGATGGGGTTTCACCATGATGGCCAGGCTGGTCTTGAACTCCTGACCTCAGGTGATCCACCCACCTCAGCCTCCCAAAGTACTAGGATTGCAGGTGTGAGCCACTGCGCCCCGCCTTTGCTGTTCCTAAGTTTAGATACATAAATACTTACCATTGTGTTGTAACTGCCTGCAGCATTCAGTACAGTCACATGCTGTACAGCTTTGTAGCCTAGGAGCAACAGGCTACCCCATTACAGCCTAGGTATGTAGTTGGTTGTACTGTTTGTACAAGCACATTATGTGATGTTCACATGATGTATTACCAGAATGTATCCCTAAGTGGCCTGTGCCTGTATTTACGTAAATACACCATATAACACACCCCACACATAGGGTGTAGGGCAACCAAACTGGTGCCATGGGAGCCATCCTTCCTCTCCCCTGCTCTCACTATTTTGAGTGTACTTGCCCTTATTCAATCTGTATTTATTCTCATTTGCTCTGAGCCAAGTATCAATGGGGAACCAAGTCAGACCAGATTCTTCACAGGGGAGGCAGTGGAGGGGAGTGGGAGGTATGTCTTTAACTGCATCTTCCACTTCTCTCCCCCAAATTCACCTGCAGGGTCCGCCTTAGTAAGCGCCGGGCCAAGGCTGGGGTTCAGTCAGGCACCAACGCCCTGCTTGTGGTCAAACATCGGGACATGAACGAGAAGGAATTGGAAGCTCAGGTAACAAACACCACTGGCTCAGGGCATACATGGCAGGAAGGGCAGTGGTTGTAGGTGAGGAAGGGGAGAAAAACCCAACAGAACACCCTCCTTTTCCTCATTCCAACCTTGCGGCTTCCAGGAGGCACGGAAGGCCCAGCTAGAAAACCACGAACCAGAGGAGGAAGAGGAAGAGGAGATGGAGACAGAAGAGAAAGAAGCTGGGGGCTCAGGTACATCTGGACAGGTCAGACCCTGGGAGCTCTGGAAGGGTGGAAAAGTGGGTCTCACCTCTCTCCATTTCCTTCCAGATGAGGAGCAGGAGAAGGGCAGCAGCAGTGAGAAGGAAGGCAGTGAGGACGAGCACTCGGGCAGTGAGAGTGAACGAGAGGAAGGTGACAGGGATGAGGCCAGTGACAAGAGTGGCAGTGGCGAGGATGAGAGCAGTGAGGATGAGGCCCGGGCTGCCCGTGACAAAGAAGAGATCTTTGGCAGTGATGCTGATTCAGAGGATGATGCCGACTCTGATGATGAGGACAGAGGACAGGCCCAAGGTGGCAGTGACAATGATTCGGACAGTGGCAGCGATGGGGGTGGCCAGCGGAGCCGCAGCCGCAGCGCCAGTCCCTTCCCCAGTGGCAGCGAGCACTCAGCCCAGGAGGATGGCAGTGAAGCTGCAGCTTCTGATTCCAGTGAAGCTGATAGTGACAGTGACTGAATCCCAGGGCATTCAGGGCTGGTTCAGACACCACTATTATGAGCAGGAAGGCACTTTTCTAGTGGTCTGTTTGTGAGCCTTTCACTTGTTTGTCCCCCACCCCCAAACCTTTCCTGTTAATAAAGCCAATTTCTCTTTACTTCCCTCCCTGCCCCTACCTTGTCCTTAAGCCCAGCGCACACTTCCCCTAACCCCCAGGTGCTCAAAGACCTCAGCTTGAGGCTTAGAAACACAGGCCAGAGGCAGGGCCAATGGTTTCCCACAAAATGTAGCACAACAAAGGTCAGAATTCGTTTGTTTTTTTTTTTTTTTTTTTTTTTTTTTTCCAAAATAAGCCCAGACCATTAAACAAGTGAAACTCCAACAAATAAGTCTTCTCCAACAGCGAGAAAAACTGTACAGTTACTCAAAGCTGATTCTGCCAGTGGGGCTGGGGACAGAAGTGGGTAGGGATGGTGAAATCATGGAGTAGGGCCTGGGGAGGGGGCTGGAGTGGGAGAGGGTCAGTCCTGCCCATCAGAGTGGGGCCGCCTGCGTCCTGCACACTCTGCTGTCAGGTGGGGTGGGGGGCAGCTCTTGCCTCCCTATGTGTGTGAGACGGTGTCCCTCACCACCTCCCAGTGCCAGGCACAGTCAGCTCACCCTGATGGAGAGTGAACAAGACAGGACAGGCTGGGGAGGGGAGGGTCCCATGAGAGGGACACCCTGCTGATTCCATCCCACTTTCTGCAACTAGTGGGAGGGGGATTGGAGAAGCCCTGGGAGATTGAGGGGATGAGCAAAGGCACAGAAACATGGAGGGCCGGGGTGGGGGACTTGCATAGGTTGATGAGTGTGCAAGAGGTACATAAATAAACCTGACACCCCACCCAGCCCGGCACTGGGAGAGGAAGTGGGGACCCAGAGGCAGGTTCCCAGGGCCACCCTACCCCCTGGCTTCTTCCCCCTCCCTGGGCTCAGAGCAGAGGGAGGTCCACAGACCAAGAGGGAGGGGGCAAGAAGGTCTGGGGAATGGGGTGATAGTGCAGGGAGGGTGGTGGTTTTAAAATTTTTTTTTTTGGTTTTTTTGTTTTTTTCCCAACATTTTGTATCTTTAATAACATACACAATGGTTACCAGCCATATTCATAACAAAAGTTATTCATAAAATGTATCTAAAAATAACATTTTTTTTCCTTTTCGGTGTGAAAAGCTTGAGAATGTCCCAGTGGGGAGGGTGGGTTGAGAGGGAGGAGGGCATTGAAGAGGGAGACCCTGGCTTCCCCGCAGTCTGAACCCCTGAATTCCCTCCCTCCACCTGGGCCCCAACACAACCCCTCATTAGGAATAGGGACCAGATGGTCTGTCAGACTCTGGGACTGGGACGAATCTCTGGGTTATGATATAGTGTTTCACTTAAGTGAGGTCATGACATAATGCGGGAGGAGGAAAGGCTGAAAGAAAAGGGAGGGGCTTGGGGAGAAACCCAAAAACCAAACAATCCCCTTTCCCTTATTCCTGACTCCTGAGTCTCACCAACCAGACCTGGGAGTGGAGAAGGGTGTGTATTCATGGGGAAGGGGACGTTAAGGCAACAGACTTCCTGACCTCACTGGCCACCCTGGCTGCCCACCTCCAACCTCTTCATCTGGGGAGCCAGGGCTGGAGGAAAACGGGTTAGAGCTTGGGGGTCTGGAGGAGGGGGCTCTGCCCTCTCCCCTCATAAAGTTCAGGCTCCCCCTGCCACTGTCTTGGCTCAGAGAGAAGCCAGGGGATTCTAAAAATGAGAGGGAATGATCAGAGAAAAACCGTTAAGAACTATATAAATATGTATCTTAAATAGGCCTAAGAAATTAATCATAGAGAACCTCTGGTGAACAGGGCCAGGGGAGGTGAGAGAGGAAGGTGGCTCCTGTCCTGGGAGAATGTGGGGAATGCTGAAGGGGAAGAAGGTGGAGACAAGAGAGGGCTTCCTCTCCTTGCTTCCCTTCCTTCTCCCCAGCTCCTCTCAATAACATTCTGGAGGGCAGGTTCTCTGCCTGCCTCCTGTCACCCCAAATGTCAAATGTTTCTGAGCAGGCTCCACAAGGTAGTTGGTCAGTCTGTCTCTGGGGAGTCTGCTCCCTTGGGGAGAGGCAGGTGGTCAGCGGTCTGGAGGAGGCAGGGGTGGGATGGGGCCAGGTGGGGATGAGGAAGGGAAGGAGAGAGGCAGGCAGTCTGGCCAGTCCCTGCCCCCTTTATCCTGACTGCCCCCAGCTCCCAGGGCCTCAGCAGAGATCCCTCGACGGGCCTGGGAGTGAGCAAGGCATGTGCCAATGTTAAACAAAAGTTAAAAGGGTGAGAGAGTAGAAAAATATTAGAATAGATAGCTGAGCCAGCCCACCCTCTCGCTGTCGCGGAGAAGCCTGTTGGGGGTTGGCCCCCGCCCGCCGCCCAGGGAGCCTATGGGTGCGCTGGGCTGTGGGTCCTGTCAGATGGTGGAGGTTTTGTCTGTCCCATCTGTGGTAAGAAAGGGAGGAAGGGAGGAAGATCAGGAGCTGAAGGGAGGCCCAAGAAAAGGCACTCAGGTAGCCTGTCATCCCGGTCAGGCCCTCCCTGGAGTCTGGCCTCCCTGGGGACCCCTCAGGATGACTCTGAGTTGCTCAGTTCAGAGGCAGAGACGCTGGGTAGGTGGGAGCTGGGTCAGGGATAGAGGAAATGCTCACCACCCAAGGCGTGTTCTGTCATGCTCAGACACAGAGACTCCAGAGTGGGATTGATCTCCAGGTCAGGCCCAGGGACCGGGCAGTCTGGGTGGGAGAGAGGAGAATGGAAGTGGTGAGGACAGACTGGACTCGGGTAAAGAAGAGAGCTGGGATGACAAAGGGTGCTGGTATGGGAAGGGAGAAAGAGAGATGGAGGGGAGAAAGGAAGAGGCAGAGATGGACAGAGAGAAGGGTGAGTGTGTCGAACAGAAGGCACAGGAGACAACGGCAATGGCAGAGGAGACAACCAACGGCAATGGCAGAGGCTTGGTGACATAGAAAAAGCCTGACTTGCAGACAGCAGAAGTGGAACCGAAGGAGCTCCTGGAGGCCACACACAGCCTGCTGTGACTACTTTGGACACAGAGTGCACACTGTCTTGGGCACAGTCTGGGCATCTGCCCTGAACACTGGGCAGCCCCCTGAGGCTCCCTGACTGAAGACCTGCTCTGTACTTGGTGCAAAAGCTAAATTAAAACCCTTCCTGTCCCCACTTGGACCTGCTCCTCTAGGCAGGATTTGATCCAGGCAGGCCGGGCAGGTGGGGCAAAGCAGGACAACCATGGGACTTGTCCTCAAACCACACTTGGCAAAAGGGCCTCCTATTCTGGCATCTGGGCAACTACCCACCTCCCTAGGCAGACCTGATCCCACCCCACATTGCTTAAATCCTTCCCTGACTCCTCACTGCCATCAGGACAAAGTCTGAGCTGTTTACCTGGGTTTAGAAGACCCAGTTCCCATCTCCACCCTCACCTCTCATCACCATCCCCTCCGAACCTTGAGCTCATGTCGTATCAGATCGCCCAATTGTCTCTCCTTAAAAAGTTTTTTTAACTTGGGCAAGACGTTTCTGTCTCATACAGTTGGGAGGATTCACAGCGCAGGAGAGTTGTCTGGAAGCCTGGCACATAGCATACCAGTAAAGAGAATGGTTCTTGTTCATTCCTGCAGTTCATCCACCTGCTTAACATAATTTACAGATGCCTACTGTGTGCCAAGCCCTGTGCTAGGATGAACATGATGGATGGGTTCCCGTGGCCTCAACAGATGGCTGCCCACAAAACCTCATTAAGTAAGACTCCCAACTGACCTGGCAGTTTATAACATGAATTCTGCAAATCCAGGCTGTCTCCAGAGTCAGCCCATCCCAGACCAGCCTTATCTGTCTGTGTAGCCCCAGTGCCCAGCACTGGGTGGAGGACTCAGTCCCTCACTTGTTGAGCAGGGCAGGGACCTGTGGCTAGCAAATCTCTATCTTCTTTTTGCCCACTTGGCCCAGCTTCTTTTAATTTTGAGATGGGGTCTCACTGTCGCCCAGGCTGTGGTTCAGTGGCACGATCTCTGCTCACTGCAGCCTTGACCTCCTGGGCTCAAGCATTCCTCCTGCCTCAGCCTCTCAAGTAGCTGGGACTACAGGTGTGCACCACCATGCTCAGATAACTTGCTTTTTTTTCAGAGATGGGGTTTTGTCATGTTGCACACGCTAATCTCAAACCGCTCTACTTGCCTCAGCCTCCCAAAAGCTCTGAGATTATAGGCATGAGTTACTGCGCCCGAACTTGGCCCAATTTCTCATCTCCCATGGTCTGTGAGCAGAGGTCAAACAGCCCTCTCACTTCAAACACCATTTGTGTAGAACCTCATCTAAGAGGTGAAGTCCATTGGTTCCAGTGTAGTTACCTGGCATCTGAAAGAATGCCAGTAGACTGATGGGCAGGACTCCCCTCCACAGAAATCTCACACTTTGACTGTCCCATCCCCTCAACCCCTTCTAAATTGAGTACTCAATAATTCTGTAAAGAAAGAGACCAACACAGACACTAAAATTATGACATAGGGTGAGAAACATGGGATGGGATGGGTGTAAGGGGTGAGAGAAGATGATTCAGAGGGGTGGGGGCAAGACCTGAGAGATAAAATTGAAGCAGAGGAGGAAAACAACCCCTCACAATTGGGGGAGATGGGGAAGAGTGGTACCAGGTATGGGGAAGAGGTACCCAAGCAGTCTGTAAGGAACAGTGGATATGAGACCCAGGAGTGAGGGGAAAAGTCAGCTGAGGGTGTCAGCCAGGCAGAGTCCCAAGGGTGGGGCACCTCACCTGGAGGGAACATGAGAATGGCCTGGGGTGACGAGTGGACCGGGAGCGAGTGAGTGCGCTGCACAGAGCTGCGGCTCTGACTGGGCATGCTGTTGCTGCCTCCAGGGTTGGCAAACCACAGGTTCTGCACAGGTCCCAGGAAGAGAGAAAGTAGTGAGTGGGGAAGAGGCCCAGACCCAAGAGTGGTAGAGTTGGTACAGGCCTTCTCCCACTCCCACCCCCACCACCTCTAAGCTGGGCCCAGACACAGAGGTACAGACGTATACATCCCAGGTACTGCCACCCCAGCCCCATGAGGCCAGGGCCCCTGCTTCCAGGCAGCTTACCTGTCGGCCCTGGCCTCCAAGGCTGGGGCTGGTGAGGGCATGTCGAGGGGAGACGCCCCCAATGCCTGAGGGGCTCAGGAGGCCCATCCGGCCAGGTGGGAGGGCCCGGGGAGGCATTGGGAACTGCCGCTGGGTACGCCGGGCCACTCCCATCCCCACAGAGCCAGCTATGGGGAGCGAGTTGGAGCCGAAAGCCCAGCTGTGAGAGAGCAGAAGGCAGGGTGTTAACTTAGGTGGATGGGGCCCATCTGTCCACCCCTTCCTCACCTTCCCCAAGTGGTAGGAGAAAACATAAACCTCCATCATACATTCTGTCCCCATCTGCCCCAAGGGTACCCCCGGAAGGAGATGGGAAGAAGACAAGAGTTTCCTCACTGTCCACTCATAATAGTTCTCTAAACCTCAATTATCAAGGGAGATATTTCTGTTATTTGTCTGGTATAAGAAGGGACTTCTCACCCTTTGCATACAGGTGAGGAGCAAAACACAGATGAGGGGCCTGCCCATGGGACATGTGTTTCTTAGCTCAGCATCCTACTCCAGTGGGAAATTTTCTTCTGGGAAAGTCCCCCCGTGACTGAATAAGTAAAAATTGGATTCTCAGCCCAGAACATAATCATCCCATTAAGGACTGATCTGCTAACCAACAAAGGCCTGTGAGGGCAGGTCCCTGTACCCTGGGCGCCCGCCTACCCTTTCTGCTGCCGGTAGTTCTGCATCTCTAGTGCGGCTTTGCGCGGGAATGTCCGGAGGAGCTTCAGCACTTGCTGTTTCCAGGATAGCAGCCGTTTCTTCTGCGTCTCCGTGAAAGCCTAGAATTGGTAGGGCATGGGTGAAGCAGAGAGGGTGGTGCTTCTTTCAGACCTTCCTTCCAGTCTTCCATTCATTTGTTTAAATATTTATTGCCTGGTCAGGTGTTTTCCTGTATTCCCAGCATTTCGGGAGGCTGAGGAGGGTGGACCATGCCTGTAATTCCTGTACTTTGGGGGGCCAAGGTGGGAGGATCACTTGAGGTCAGGAGTTTGAGACCAGCCTGGCCAACAAGGTGAAACTTCGCCTCTACTAAAAATATAAAAATGAGCAGAGTGTGGTAATGCACGCTTGTAATCCCAGCTACTTGGGAGGCTGAGGCAGGAGAAACCCTTGAACCCAGGAGGCGGAGGTTGCAGTGACCCGAGATCACACCACTGCACTCCAGCCTGGGCAACAAGAACGAAACTCCATCTCAAAAAAAAAATGCAAAAATTAGTTGGGTGTGGTAGCACATGCCTGTAATCCCAGTTACTTGGGAGGCTGAAGCAGAAGGACTGCTTGAACTGAGGAGGCAAAGGTTACAGTCAGATGAGATCACAACACTGTACTCCAGCCTGGTGACAGAGTGAGACTCCATCTCAAAAAAAAAGAGGGAGAGAGAGAGGAGTGTATACAGTGCTCTGAGAAGAACCCTCTAAAGCCAACACTAGTAAGATGCAAGACTGGAAGGGCTGGCAGGTGCCAGGTCAGGCAAGACCCTGTGGGCCACATATGACACAATGGTCCTGAGAATGATGGGGCAGCCTTTCCCTTTTCAAGTATGTTAGGGAAGGCCTTACCTCATGAGTCAGGCACTTTTCGATGAGCTGGAGGTAACTGGTGATGTTCTCTTCGTCTGGTCGGGACACCAGCAGCTGGGTGCACACTGGGACACGAGAAAGGGCAGGTTAGCCCCTAGTGTGCCCTCTGCCATGTTCCAGCCTTCAGCTGGCTCGTGCACAAGAAGGAACAGGAGATTCAGGCTGGATCAGTACCAACTATTAAGTGCTAGCCATGGTACTTGGGTTATCATGAGGATATTTAACACAGTTCCTGACACAATCTTGTCACTACAAACGTTTTTAGCTGAGGAACCTAAATCTCAGTTGAGTCACTTGCCCCAGGTCCAGATCCAGACTGAGGTGGATCCAAGTGTAAAGTCTGCTATGTCATGCTGCTTTAGGAAAGGCTGAAGCTGTGATGAATTTCATCATACCCACCCCCTGGACTTTGGTCCCCTCTGAGAAAAATCAATGGACTCCCCTCAACTGCTTACCCTTTACTACATGCAATTTCTTCTGACACACTGCCCCATCTTCTGCTCAGCCTGGAGATACTTTGAGGGGAAGGGCTGTTATCCACCATCAGCCCAGATGTGCCCAAGGGCAAGAGGCCTTATCACCCTGTCTTGGCTACTGTCTGTAGTGTTCCAGTGTCCCCCAGGCTTTACAAAGCCCTGCTCCCACCATCTAACTTGGATTTGATCCCTGGTGCCTGGGTTCGCTTGGCTTTCTGCCTCAGGATTTTCTGCTAGACCATGGCTGGTCTCACCTTTGCCCATCACCCGTGTAAACTGGCTGGGGATGTCTCCGTCGGCAACGGGAGCCGGAGCAGGCTCACTGCCATCAGTGGGAGCTGGAGCTGGTAGAGGTGGGTAGTTCTCCACAGGTGGAGGGTCCTTGGCCTCAGTGCCCTTGTCTGTGACGGGGTGGGCTAAAGGAGGCTCAGCACCTGGCAGCGGTGGCTCCCCCGGGGCCCCATCCTTGGCAGTAGGGGTGGTGGCAGCAGCAGCCACGGTAGCCTGGAGGACACTGTAGGCCTTGATAGGAGTGATGATGATCTGCTGCAGCTCCTGCAAAGCGTTTCGTAGGTTCCCACCTTCTAGCACATCCTGGATGGGAGGACATAGGCTGGGGTCACATGCAGACCCTACAATGAGGGACAGAGGATATCTACACAGAGGGTCAGAAAGGGCTTGCAGAAGACTGGGCAGGACCCTGGGTTCCAGCACATAGAGAAGGCATGTAAGGGCACCACAAGTCCACAAACATATAGGCACACATTTCCTCTTTCTCATCAAAGTGAAACTCACAAAAAGGCAGTCTAATGTTGGAGTCTCAGGGACCCACCAAGGACAAAATCAGAGATTCAGACCCAGATACTGAGTGGGGAAGAATACAAACAGAAGGCAGTGGCAAGGAAAGGGAAAGAGGAATGCAAATCAGTCAGATCAAATCAAATCAGAAATGGAAGGAAAATGAGTTTAGAAACAATCAAATGGAAAGAAGAAAGATCGTGCACACAAAGACACTCTCCTCTACCAGAAAGACCAGTAAGAAATGGAAAAGAAAAAAGGGAGAGAAGGTATAGAGTCAAAAGACAGATATTCTGGAACCACAATCCAGGACAGACAGGGAGAGGAGCCTCTTAGCCACCAGCAAGTGAGCCCTTTGATGCTGGCTTGTACGTGGTCCCTGGAGTCTAGCTCCCTAGGACTGGGGCTACTGAGGCCAGACCTGAGGAGTTAGGAGGCCAACTCAGGGCCTTTGGTGTACTGATACCACCAGGTGGCTGGGTGGCCTTGAAGATGCAGATACCAGATCCTCACCTTCTCTAGGGACTTGAGGACGCTCTGTCTCTCACGTAGTTTCTGGATGCTCAGGGCTATCTTGTGGCGGGCACCTTTGGTGACGTTCTGTGATAAGGGGAGAAAGTGACAAGAAGCTGAAGATGGGAGGCTGAGATACTTCGGGGTGCCCAAATAGAGATCAAGGAGAAAAGGAGGCTTGGGCTGTAAGGATGCCAAACTAGTGCTGCCCCAGCACCTCCCTGATGGTCCCCTTGGCTTCACCTGAGACTCCAGGTGCTGCTCAGTCAGTGTCATCATCTCCTCGTAGCTCATCTGTGAGAAGAGGGCTGCATACTTGTGCAAGCGGAGGCTCTTGAGCCATGAGGGCACATCTTTGGAAAAGGAGGGAGGGTGAAAGGTCAGGAGTTTGGCCCTGATGACCAAGGTAAAGGAAGGGTTGTGGGGATAAACCCACAGGAAGCCACAAAAATGCAAAAAATTGGAAGGGGGTTGGGAGGAACTAAGGTTCCATCAGCTCCTTCTTTATCTGCCTGGCCAGACCCTCTCAGGCAGCCTTCTCTGGGGAGAACAGCTGACCCTTCTAAGCTGCTCAGCTGGATGTGTACTAGGATGACCTCACTGATTGCTTCAAAACTTCCAGGAATCTCTGTTCTATCAGTTACCTGTGTCCTGGCTTCCTTGTCAGACTGGGGTATGTGAAGACAGGGGACTCCTCCCCAGTCAGACCAGAACCTGTTAGGGTAGATGTGGGGTCTCTCTGCTTAGTCTTGAGCCCTAAGAGCAGGGACTATCTATTCCCCTCCTCAGAGGGGTAGGCAGGTGTCAGCTACAAGCTCCTTTCTGCCCTCTAGATTCTGCAGAAGCCCCTAGAAATGGAGAAATGAGTCCTGGTGCTGCTATCCCCAATGTACCTTTCATGCCACTTCCATCCTCCTGGAAAGTGTTCCGGCTGGAGCCCTGCTCCTCTGTCTGCTCACTGCCAGAGGAGGCCACGCTGCTCTGGGGCGAGAGGGGTGCGTGATCGGGCGTGGTAAAAGCAGCCCGGGCCCCAAGCTCCTCTGGACTCGGCCACTCACCAGGGGCCTGGGGGCTTGTAGGGATGAGTGACATGGAGCGCTTCAGCGGGCTAGGGTGGATTTGGCAGGGGAGACCTGGCCAGAGTGGGAGAAAAGCAGATTAGGTTTGGGGATCCAACCACAGGAGACCATCCCCCTGCCGTCAGTGCCAGGATGGCAATTTGGCCCCATAATGTGCCAAAGGAAGGGACCTGGGGTCTAAGGGGAACCAGATATACCTCATTCCCTCACCCCCAACACCCAACCCATCAGCAAGCTATCAGCCATTTCCCTGAACTTCTCTAGTTCCGCTGGCTCAAGCCACCAGCATCGCTGGAGGGAATTACTGCCATACCCTCCTCACTGGTTTCCTGCCTTCACTCTCACCTCCTGCAGTCCATGCCCCTCACCATGGCCATAAGGATCCTTTTAAAAATGAAAATCTGACCAAGCTGGACTCCTGCTCAAATCCATGTGACTTCCTTTCATAGTGGAAACAAAATTCAAATGCTTCCACATGCCTAAAAGGCCATGCAGGACCTGGCCCCTGCTCCTCTCTAACTCTCCTCTCCCACAACCCGCCACTTGGTTCATGCCTATCCTTGGCCTCCTCCCAAATGTCCCTTTGTTCCTGAAACACTCAAGCTTGTTCCAGTCTTAGGATTTCTGGACTTGCTTCTTACCTTCCTGATCTTAGTGGTTGGCTCCCTCAAGTCTCATCTCAAGTGTCACCTCCTCTGAGGCCTACTCTAAACCCTTAATCTGAAGTCCTGCCCCACTCTGCTGCCCCAACCCGTTACTCTATCACATTACTGTCTTGTCTTTCTTACAGCACCTGTCACAACCTGAAATTATCAAGTTATTTGTTTATTTATTTATTTATTGAGAAGGAGTCTTGCTCTGTTGCAGGGCTGGAGTGCAGTGGCACTATCTTGGCTCACTGCAACCTCTGCCTCCCAGGTTCAAGTGATTCTCCTGCCTCAGCCTCCTGAGTAGCTGGGATTACAGGCGTGCACCACCACACCCATCTTTGTATTTTTAGTAAAGACAGGGTTTCACCATGTTGGCCAGGATGGGCTCAATCTCTTGACCTTGTGATCCACCTGCCTGGGCCTCCCAAAGTGCTGGGATTACTGGCGTGAGCCACTGTGCCTGGCCTTGTTTACTTATTAACTGTACCCCTGCTAGAACAGAAGACTTGTGATAGCAGGAAGCTGTCCCATCTTAAACATTATATATTGTAATGAACGAAGTATGTAAGCTGCTTCCTCAACAACCTTGTTATGGAGCCTCACGATCTCCATTTTTTTCTGCAATGAGCCCAAACTGGCCACCCATGGGGCCTGGTGGCTCAGGGTGATCCCAGGCCCTCTTCTGCAGGATGCTCCACACCCTCTGTCCATCCCACATCTGAGATTGACAAACGAATCCAACTTTTTTTTTTTTTTTTTTAAAGATGGGGTTTCACCATGTTGGTCAGGCTGGTCTTGAACTCCCAACCTCAGGTGATCCGCCCGCTTTAGCTTCCAAAGTGCTTGAATTCTAGGTGTGAGCCACCATGCCCAGCTGACAAATCCAACTTGATTTTTTTTCTTTTTGAGATGGAGTTTCGCTCTGTCGTCTAGGCTGCAGTGTAGTGGTGTGATCTTGGCTCACTGCAACCTCTGCCTCCCAGGTTCAAGCAATTCTCCCTGCCTCAGCCTCTAAGTAGCTGGGACTACAGGCGCCCGCCACCATGCTGGCTAATTTTTGAATTTTTAGTAGAGATGGACTTTCACCATGTTAGCCAGGCTGGTCTTGATCTCCTGACCTCAGGTGATCCACCCGTCTTGGCCTCCCAAAGTGCTGGGATTACAGGCATGAGCCACTACACCTGGCCTCCAACTTGATTTTTAACCACTCTCAAGACAGGGCAGACTCCCATGAGCTTCCAGACCTTTATCTGTGCTTTTCCCTCTGCCTACATCACCTCTCCAACCGTTCTCCATCAGCCACTTCTCCCTTTGTGCCTTGCTAACATACCCCTCTGCTGCTGCCTCAGGCACAGTGCTTGCTGCCCTCCACACTATCCTCCCTCTCGCACTGGACTGTGGGTTCATGGAGGATGGCAGCTCAGCCCAATTACTTATACAACTCCATGATCAGGCACAGAGCATGATACACAGAAGTCCTTCCAATGAAGTTTCATAAAAGACAAAGGGGTGCTAAGAGGGCCTCTGAGCTCCACTTATCTCATCAAAAGTACCCCAAGTCAGCCTAGACAAAAAGAAATCAAACAAAGCCAAAAAGCCTCACCCTGGGTAGGTAAGAACATCAAGGCCCGTGGAGCTGAAGCCCTTTGCCCCAGTTCCCATGGGGAGTTGACAGACTGAGACAGAGCCCAAGCCTTGTTTCTGATGGAAAGGCTGGGGTTCCTGCCAGTGCTCTACTGACATCCAGCCCAGGAAGGAGGGCTAGCCTGATGCAGGCCCTAGAGCATCTTCCCTCAGCTGTGACAATCCTGATGCCCCTTGCTAGGAAATCACCTAAGGGAGAAGGCAAGGCAGTGGTCCATTCCTAATACCAGCATCTGCTCTACCCTAGAGTGTCCGAGGTCCTCTTCCCAGGGCTTCTTCTGCCTCTAGACTCCCTCAGCCTGGGCTTCTGTCCCCATTCAGGACTCTTGAGGGAACATGGCACACTCTGGGCCCTGTGGGGCTGGGGAATCCTCAAGACAGGCCTTTTGGCCTGTTTTGGTGTTTCTGGCCTCCTTCTTCCTCCCTTCTCAGCCAAGAAGGGGGCAAGCGAGGCTGAGAGGGCAGGAAATTACCCTGACTGGAATGATCGTGCAGTTCCTGAGGAGCCCTGCTTGGCTCCACACTGGGGTGGAGTTGGCCACAGCATGAGAATGACAAAAACAAGAATGCCGGCTGGAGATCCAGGGCCTTTCACTCTCCAAGAAATCCTGATCTGTCCTTGGCAGCACCCCAAACCCACGCTGGCTGCCCTCAAAGGCCAATCCTTGCTCCCCACTCAAAAATATTTTAATCATTTCCTGTTTCCTGCAACTGCCTGGAATCCAAAAGCTTCTCCTGTCCTTCAAGGCCTCCCAGAATGTGGCCTTCACACACTGAGGTCTGAGGGTACAGACAGACCTGAGTTCAAATCCTGACTCTGACTCTGTCGCCTGTGTGTGATCTTGGGCAAGTCACTTCATTTGCCCCTCTGCCTCCATTGCCACATGAAGTCCTTAGCTGAGGGATAGGCACATGGTAAGCACAAGTCTCTGCTACTGCTATTACTCATTCAAATCCACTCCAGCCAGACCTGTCTGTACACTGTTCCCTCTAATTTTCCACCCTTGTGCTTATTTCGTGCTGTGCTTTTTTTTTTTTTTTTTTTTGAGACGGAGTTTCGCTTGTTACCCAGGCTGGAGTGCAATGGCGTGATCTCGGCTCACCGCAACCTCCATCTCCTGGGTTCAGGCAATTCTCCTGCCTCAGCCTCCCGAGTAGCTGGGATTACAGGCGTGCACCACCATGCCCAGCTAATTTTTTGTATTTTTAGTAGAGACGGGGTTTCACCATGTTGACCAGGATGGTCTCGATCTCTTGACCTCGTGATCCACCCGCCTCGGCCTCCCAAAGTACTGGGATTACAGGCTTGAGCCACTGCGCCCGGCCTCATGCTGTGCTTTCTACTTGTAATGTCCAATTCCTTTTTCTCTTTTGGTCCAAACCCCTATCAACATTGTTGAATCTTGGTCCTTTAATAGCTGCTGGGGTCCCCATGATGGGGAGCACAGAAGGTATCAGAAGAAATAAATTTATAGGTACCCTACATGGGTTATCACTCCCCTTGGTGAGGGCTGAGCATCTCTAGGAGGGGTACTTTTTGGTGGAGGTAGTGTAGCATAGTAGTTCAGAGTATGAGCTCTGCAGCAAGACTGCTTGGCTTTAAATCCTAGCTATACCACCTTGGCCAGGTGAGACTTAGCCAGTGAGTTTATATGTATAAAGTTCTTAGAATAGCTCCTCGTAAACACTGAACACTGTTTTTTTTTTTGAGATGAAGTCTTGCTCTGTCGCCGGAGCTGGAGTGCAATGACATGATCTTGGCTCACTGCAACCTCTGTCTGCTGGGTTCAAGCAATTCTCCTGCCTCAGCCTCCCAAGTAGCTGGAATTACAGGCATGTGCCACCACACGCGGCTAATTTTTGTATTTTTTTTTTTTTTTTTTTTTTTTAGATGGAGTCTTGCTTTGTCACCAGGCTAGAGTATGGCAGCACGATCTCGGCTTACTATAACCTCCACCTCCTGGGTTCAAGTGATTCTCCTGCCTCAGCCTCCCAAGTAGCTGCAGCTACAGGTACGCACCACCAAGCCCAGCTAATTTTTGTAGTTTTAGTAGAGATGGTGTTTCACCATGTTGGCCAGAATGGTCTCAATCTCCCGACCTCATGATCTGCCCACCTCAGCCTCCCAAGTGCTGGGAATACAGGTGTGAGCAACCATGCCTGGCCTAATTTTTGTATTTTTAGTAGAGATGGGGTTTCACCACGTTGCCCAGGCTGGTCTTGAACTCCCGACCTCAAATGATCCACTCTCCTCAGCCTCCCAAAGTGCTGGGATCACAGGCCTAGTACTCAATATTTTTTGGCTGGAATGATCATTATTAATACATCCTCCCATCCTGGAACTGTGATGCTCCATGACTGGAAAATGAAATCCAAGGCGCCTCAGGTTGCTGTTTCCTGAAACCGCCCTTCTATCCCTTTATCTTCCCAGGTTCTCACCAGCAACTGGAAGGGAGGCACATTAACTGGGGAATATCCACATTAACTGGGGAAAAAACTGGCTCAAGGGGTAACTGACGAGCACCAGGTACCAGACAGCGGGGCATTTGGGACCTGAGGTTACCCCCACCCGCTGGCACACATGACATTTCACTGCTACTCTCTCCTGTCTTGCTTTAAACCAGTGCCTGCAGAAGGGGACTAGCAGCTCTGAGGTTAAATCATCAACCACCCTCTCACCCTGAGTCAGGTCATGCCGCCTTAGCATGGCTTGGAATAGCCACCCTTCCTTATCCTGCATATTTCAACTAACATTTCATAAAGTCACTGGGATACCAATTCTTCCTGCTCACCCTAGCCTGTAAGGCTTTCACTAAGAGAGCTCTTTCAAACATGTTTAGTTGGCAGGACAGTGTAGTGGTCAGAGGCAGGCTCTGGCATCAGATTGGTTGGGTCTGTTCCACCACTTGTTCTACATATAACCTTGAACACATGACTTCACCTCTGAGTCCAAGTGTCCTCATCTGTTGAATAGGGCTAATAATATGGTTGGGATGCTGCTTGAGATCATATCTACAAAATGTCTATAAAAGAGTACCTGGCATAGTCAATGCTCAAAAATGTTAGCTACTATTATAAACACCTTACAGCATGAGTTTTGTCTTATATCAACAGTGCTTTCAGAAACAAAGCTGTAAGTTGAGGCTAGATACAAAAATCCATGATGACTGAACTGGAAGGGACCTCAGACGACAGGATCCACACTTCCATCAAGCGTCACAGCCTAATGTTCTTAGAGGCCAGGTATATATGAGAAATGCCCAAAGGGGGATTGGTGGGAGCAGAGGCAGACTGGGGTGCTTGTGCAGTCTAAAGGGCATGCTCAACATTAAGCTCTATATTATTGTTGCCACTGGGAAAACAGGTCTTGCTGAGTTGCTAGATCTTTTGACTTCTCAAGAGAGGCTGGAAATCTCATTTCTAGGGAAGCACCCATATTTATTTAAAAACCCAACACAACAAAACAAAACCAAAGTATGGGTTCAATAAGACATGTCTGTAGGTCAGATTCACCTTTGGGAAAGCCAGTTCACAGCTCTGCATTGCCTCATAAAGCTGAGGCCTAGAGCTTATATGACTTGTCTAATGCCAGAGTGAGGGAGCTCTCACCAGTCCAACCTTTTTCAAGTAGACACGGTCTTCTGGGACACCGCCCCCACTTACCTGTGTTTGTGTTGCTCCCAATACTGTTGATGGCTGGCGGCACTGAACTGGACGGGTGGAAGGGCACATGTCCATTTTCCCGGGGTGGTTTGTCCTGCCAGCCTGGCCCTGCCTCCCCAGGGCCCAGCTCTGCAGGGCCCCCCCACTCGTCTGAGCCTTGGCGAGAATGGTAGGAGGGCTCTGGCCGGGAGCGGAAGCCACTAGCCAGCCGCTCTTCCAGGTGGCTCAGCCAGAGGGCCAGTGCGTTGCGGTCCTCCAGTGTGGTGGCTGGGTGGATGAGGGCATAGGAAAGCAGCTGGCGGCTCTCCTCGATGAAGGCATTGCTCTCGATTGAGTAGGCCAGCACTTTCTGCAGCAGCCTCATGTACTCCGACTTGGCCTCTGTGTTGCCTGGCTGAAGCAGGGGAAGGTGGGTCAGCAGGAGGGATACCACCTTCTCTTTGGACTCCTGCTGCCACTGGCTGACGATGGCTACAGAAGGGATAAGAAGAAATGTCAGGAGAGCCAGGGTGGGGTACTCCTATTTACCTGAGAGCACTGCCTATGGCCTAGTCCCTCAGCTCCAATCTCCTTTCATAACAATCTCCTTTCCATAACTCCCAATCTTATCCCTCATATAGGTGAGATCAAACACACTGACCCTGCTTCTAGCATATTTTTCTTATTTTTTTTTAAGAGACAGGGTCTCACTATGTTGCCCAGTCTGCAGTGCAGTGGCTATTCACAAGTGCAATCCCACTATTGATCAGCATGGGAATTTCGACCTGCTCCATTTCCGAACTGGGCCAGTTCACCCCTCCTTAGGCAACCTGGTGGTCCCTCGCTCCTGAGAGGTCACCATATTGGTACCACACTTAGTGCAGACGCCCAATCAGCATAGCACATCACAGCCCAGCACTGCCGGACTCAGGCAATTCTCTTGCCTCAGCCTCCCAAGCACCTAGTACAAGCACACGCCACCACACCCACTGTAATTTTTCTTGGTTCTATAACTCCTGATCTCAATAACCTGCAGTGCCTTCCAATCAGCCAAACTTGTTACTCTGGAATCTGAACTCCTCCTGTCCCCAGGCCTGCTCTCATGCTTTATCACCATGACACTTTACTCCATTCTTCATGGCCTCTATGCTATTTCACCTGTCAAAAAGCAGTCTCCTTCCCGAATGGAGAAGGCAGTGGTATATGGTAGTTAAAAGCTTGGGCTCTGGAATTGGATGGTCTAGACACCCAAGCTTATTAGCTGGATCTTAATAAGCCACCTTGAACCTCATTGACACTAAATTATCTGTAAAATTTTGGCAATAATTACAGCACCCAATTCACAGTGTTGCTTTGAAATTCAATGAGCTAGCAAAGAATGGAAAGTGGTTTGGCATTTAGGACATAGTAAATGCTTGCTATTGTTTTCTCTCTGCTTCTAGATTCTCCCCTTCCAATCCATTCCATGCATCTAGATGCATTTATCTTCCTAAATCACAACAGGATGTCATGCTCCTGACCAGGTATTTATAATGGCAATCAGCAAGCACCACCAGACTCAAGTCCAAGAACTCCTAGACTAACATCACCTTCATTTCCAGGGCACTCTCCAGCTCCCATTCCTCCAGATAGACTCAGCTCAGGGTATCTCCCCATCTTCCCTGGGGTTCTCTCCACAGTATATATTCATCGAAGTTCCATACTTGGCTGAGATTCTAGGTTTTGGCCCGCAACAACCTCCTTCCTCCTACACAAATTCTCTTTGGTAGATGGCCTAACTTACTGCCCTCCTCCAGGAAACACCCGCTGGCTGTTCCATGCCATGGTCATCTTGACCTCTCCTTTCTATCCTACTGTGTGAGGACCTGAGTCTGCCCTGTGGAGATAAGTCAGGTTTCCCCTTTCAACCCAGAAGGGAAGTCCCTAAGAATATGGCCCCAGGCTGGCCACATCAAGGAAGTCTTGGGGAGGAACTGTTACAAGTCTGACTCTCCCCGTCAAAAACCTTGTTAGCGCTGGGTGTGGTGGCTCACGCCTGTAATCCCAGCACTTTGGGAGGCTGAAGGGGGTGTTCAAGGCCAGCCTGGCTGACATGGTGAAAGCCTGGCTTTACTAAAAATACAAAACTTAGCCAGACACGGTAGTGGATGCCTGTAATCCCAGCTACCTAGGAGGCTGAGGTGGGAGAATCGCTTGAACCCAGGAGCTGGAAGTTGCAGTGAGCCAAGATCGTGCCATTGCACTCCAGCCTGGGTGACAAAGTGAGACACAGTCTAAAAAAAGAAAAAGAAAAAGAAAACCTGTAATCCCAGCACTTTGGGAGGCCGAGGCGGGTGGATCACGAGGTCAAGAGATCGAGACCATCCTGGTCAACAAGGTGAAACCCCGTCTCTACTAAAAATACAAAAAATTAGCTGGGCATGGTGGCACGTGCCTGTAATCCCAGCTACTCGGGAGGCTGAGGCAGGAGAATTGCTTGAACCCAGGAGGCGGAGGGTGCGGTGAGCCGAGATCGCGCCATTGCACTCCAGTCTGGGTAACAATAGCGAAACTCCGTCTCAAAAAAAAAAAAAAAAAAAAAAAAAAAAAAAAAGGAACAGGAAGAGATGTGGCATATGTCCCGTAACTACCACTTACTGTCCATGTGACTGTGGGCAAGTATGATCACTACACTGAGCTCTATTTTCTCTATCCGTAAAGTGAAGCCCAGAATCATTCCCACCTGGCATGGCTGCTATGAACTATGTGAGGCCATAGCATAGAATAGGTCCTCAGTAAACACTAGCTGCTTTTGCTAGTATCATGGTTATCATATCTCACTGTGTCTCCCTCCTTTCAAATATACACAGAGATTCTAAAGATACAAGCCAATCTCCTGGCCCAGGAAACCAAGAGGCTGGGAATAAACACCTATAAGGAAAGTCTTGGAAACCTAGATGTCTGAGGGTCTTTCAATCCAAGTTTCTTAAACCTTTAAGATTCCAATGACATCTAGCATGCTTCAGGATTGGCTTAAAAAAAAAGTTCTGGCCAGGCACAGTGGCTCACGCCTGTAATCCCAGCATTCTGGGAGGCTGAGATAGGTGGATTATGAGGTCAGGAGATCGAGACCATCCTGGCTAACATGGTGAAACCTTGTCTCTACTAAAAATACAAAAAATTAGCCAGGTATGGTGGCATGTGCCTGTAGTCGCAGCTGCTCTGGAGGCTGAGGCAGGAGAATCACTTGAACCTGGGAGGCCAAGGTTGCGGTGAGCTGAGGTCATGCCACTGTACTCCAGTCTGGGTGACAGAGTGAGGTTCCGCCTCAAAGAAAGAAAAGTTCCATGGACCTCCGGTCTCCTCTACCCACACTGAAGGATGGACACCTGGCCTTGCATCAAAAACTCAAGAAATGCCCTTTCTGTAGCCCTATTTCTCTGAATGATCTGCTTAGAACTCTGTGGCCTAGAATTCACTCCTAATTCTGCTTAAGTCTATAGCCCTAGGAAAATGAATCTCATACAATTCCTAACTTCTGGCTATAAGACTGGATTTTCTTGGCCTGGGGCTCTCTGCTCTAAGCTTCCTAGAGAGAACACCTGTTAATTTTTGTTTTTTTGAGATGGAGTCTTGCTCTGTTGCCCAGGCTGGAGTGCAGTAGCTAGATCTCAGCTCACTGCAACCTCCTCTTCCTGGGTTCAAATGATTCTCCTGCCTTGGCCTTCCAAGTAGCTGGGATTACAAGCATGCACCACCATGCCCAGCTATTTATTTTTGACGGAGTCTCACTCTGTTGCCTAGGCTGGAGTGCAGTGGCATGATCTCGGCTCACTGCAACCTCCACCTCTGGGGCTCAAGGATTCTCCTGCCTCAGCCTCCCAAGTAGCTGGGATTACAGGCACACACCACGACACCTGGCTGATTTGCATATTTTTAGAGGAAGGGGGCGTATCATCAAGTTGGCCAGGCTGATCTGGAACTCCCGACCTCAGATGATCTGCCTGCCTAGGTCTCCGAAAATGCTGGGTAACACTGCGTCCTGCCTGCTACTTTTTTTTTGCTATGTTAGCCAAGCTGGTCTTGAATTCCTGATCTCAAGTTATCTGCCCGCCTCAGCCTCTCAAAGTGCTAGAATTACAGGCATGATCCACCATGCCCAGTCAAGAAAACACCTGTTAAATCTATTCATTCAAAGGCATCAACTCATACTATGCCCACAGCATTGCTTACAATTAATAGTAGAACCAATACCACTACTGCTGCTGCTACTACTATTACTGACAATGGCATGTTGTATGGCACTTTCTTTTTCTTTTTTTTTGAGATGGAGTCTTACTCTGTTGCCAGGCTGGAGTGCAGTCGTGTGATCTCAGCTCACTGCAACCTCTGCCTCCTGGGTTCTAGCAATTCCCCCGTCTCAGCCTCCCAGGTAGCTGGGACTATAGGTACATGCCACCACGCCCAGCTAGTTTTTTGTATTTTAGTAGAGACGGTGTTTCACCATGCTGTACAGGATGCTCTCGATCTCCTGATCTCAGGATCTGCTGCCTCGGCCTCCCAAAGTGCTGGTATTACATCCGGCCGGCACTTTATTCAGAATGGATACTGTTTATTGAGCATTTACTAAGTACCATACACTATACTAAGAATATGATTGTTTTTCATCCCTGTTTCAAACCTGTTTTAGCATGCACATCTTGCAGATAAGAAAACAGATTTGGGAAGGTGAGGTCACATACCCCAAGTGACAGAGCCAGTAAGCGACACAGCTGACATCCGAACCCAGGCTCTGTGGGCCTCCAGAATTAAGAGGAACTTTTTTTTTTTTGAGACAGAAGCTTGCTCTATTGTGCAGGCTGGAGTGCAATGGCGTGATCTTGGCTCACTGCAACCTCCACCTCCTGGTTTCAAGCAATTCTCCTGCCTCAGCCCCCACCAGTAGGTGGGATTACAGGTACGTGCCACCACACCTGGCTAATTTTTTATTTTTAGAGACAGAATCTCACTCTGTTGCCAGATGCCAGGCTGGAGTGCAGTGGCACGATCTTGGCTCACTGCAACCTCCACCTTCCAGGTTCAAGCAACTCTCCTGCCTCAGCCTCCCAAGTAGCTGGGACTACAGGCACACGCCATCACACCCAGCTAATTTTTGTAATTTTTTAGCAGAGATGGGGTTTCATCATGTTGGTCAGGATGGTCTCAATCTCTTGACCTCGTGATCCACCTGCCTCGGCCTCCTAAAGTGCTAGGATTATAGGCATGAGCCACCGTGCCTGGCCAATTTTTGTATTCTTAGTAGAGACAGGGTTTCACCATGTTGGCCAGGCTGGTCTCAAACTCCTGACCTCAGCTGATCCAACAGCCTCGGCTTCCCAAAGTGCTGGGATTAGAGGTGTAAGCCAAGGTGCCTGGCCAGGAGAAACTTTTAACCCACAACCTTTTATGTCACCAATGCCAAGTTTCTCCTTTCCCAGCTTTCCAAATCCCCTTCAGTATCTGCCACTCAAAGCTAGGAAACCTCATTCCCTTGTCTGTCTTCACTTGAACCAGCTGCCAAGATTATGAAGCTGGTCTTTCAGGCCATCTCCATATCTAAAGATTGTTTTCCAAGGCAGATCTGGCCTTCCTGAAGTCAAGAACTTTTATCTTTCCTGCTCTCCCATCTCCACCTGGCACTCGATCAAACAGTAAGAACTCTGTGGTACCCTCTTTTCATAACTTAGTCCTAGAGTTTTCAGTTCTTGATGAGAAAGAATAAAGATAGTGATTCCCATTAAGGACAGAAAGTCAAGAATGAAAATAAACAAAAATAAAAATAAAGAAGTTGAGGATATGCATCCCAGTCAGAAAAACAGTTGCCTGGGCAGTATGCTTCCTCCTGTGTAAACTAAGGGTTATAAAAAGCTGCTGAGGAGATGCAGGGAGATGATGCATGTAAAGCATCTGAGAGTGCACCCATAGTAAGCATTCAGTCTGTGGCTCAAGGATGGGTGTTTTCCTCTCTTCTCCAGTAGAGTCCAGTCCGCCTGCCCCTCCAGCCCCACCCTGACATTTCAATCGCTGTTGTTTAGGCCTTGCAGGGTAGCCAGAGGCATCTGGGACAGAGAGAAGCCTTGTCTAGTCCCTCCCCCACTCCAGAGTACTGCCAGGACCTCAGGGCTAAGGGGACACAGCTTCTCCTCTGGTACCGCCAGGGGATATGACAGAACAGCCCCAAGGGCTGGGCTCAATGCAAGACCTTGTTCTGCTGCCGAGAAAGGGGAGAGTGGTTTTGGACGAATGGAGGCTGACTCCAGGGAAATGTGTATTCATGTGTCTGTGTGGTGGTGGTGGGGAGGGCAGGCCTCCCACGACTGAGAAGCATCAGTGAGTACTGGAACGGGTCCAAGGAATTTGTGCAGCCTCAGGCCCCTTGGGGTGAGTCCAGCTGGGGCTAGAAATGATGGGTGGGGATGGAACTTCTAGTTTCCTGCCCAGATCAGAAAAGTCTGGCCCAGATTGGAGGCACAGCAGAGGCCCAACGAATACCTGCACAATTGAACCCAGATGGTCTCCTGGAAGGTGGTGGTGTCTGTGTGTATCATGTGCCTCTCTAGGATCCCCTAAGCTCAGATCACTCTGTCTCAGGTCCCAGCAGAGTATACTGAGTCAGAGCACAAGTTCAACAGGCAAATTTGCTGGGTTCAAAATCTACCTCTGCCTCCACGATCTAACTCAATGTTGTAATTGTGGGCCAGTCCTTTAACCTCTCTGATCCTTGGTCTCTTCTGTACAATGGGGACTGTAAAGTCTCTACCTCACAGGGTTGTTATAAAGAATCAATGAGACAATCATGCAAAGTGTCTGGCATGTGGTAAGTGCTCAGTATATTTATTGTAGCTCTTGGTTAAAATCTAGAGCCCATGCTGTTTCAGGGCTGGTGGGAACAGTTCATGCACAAGAGCACATCTGGGCCTTCCCCTTAAGATTCCCAACAGGGGTGGGGAATTTCACAGTTATTTACCAAAAACAGACACATCTCTGGTTCCTTGGAGCTAGATGCACAACAAGCAATGATGAAATTCTGGAGGTGGGCGGATGGGGGAAGGGGCTGGGGAATGCTATGACGCCAATAGCTCCTTCTCACCAAAGTGCAAACCTGGACTCTGCAAACATGGATAGGCTGAGGAAGATGGTGCGTATAAATGTCCTCCTTGGCTATAGCAGCAGCAGGGGAGAGCTGGCCAGGTGACCAGAGCTAAGTAGGTCATGACCCTAGGTCCTGGCAAATCAAAGGTACCAAACAAGACTTCCATAAGAGCAAACCCATTTTAATGTAATGGGCTGCAACAATTGTAGTAGCCTCAGGCACCAGTCGGAGGGGCTAGGGTTTCGCTCCAAGCATGACCTTCTCTGCCTCACCCCAGCTCACACTGACACGGGGGGAGGGCCAGGGGGCTCACATTTTTATTTGATGAATTGTCAAGCAGAGTCTGAAATTGGAGGGTGGAGGCCAGGGCTGAGCTCTGGTGACTCACTTGCCATTGCTCCCTCCTGACCTCAGTTTCCCCACCCAGATTCAATTAGCCAGAGAGGGAGGACCTCTCTGCTAGATATGGGGACTGACTCAGAGGATAGGAGATGGGAAGAAAATGCAGGAAATGTCTTCCAGGAAGCTACAGGACCATGGAGTGAAGTGGAATTCAGCTTCCCTGACCCTAGTCTCCTTTCTCCTTTCCATGGGAATAAACTTCCAGTCCAAGTGAGCATCAGGGAAAAGGAGAGGGGCAGGGTTATTGTTCTACCTCCAGAGGCAGGGAAGACAGTACCTGGAGAATGAACAGGGATTACAAAAAGGGACAACCTGGGACCTCTCCTTCCTTGTTCCAGAGACCCCTGGAATATTGCTTTTCTGTTCCTAGGTGTTGCCTCAGGTCCTGCTTCCATGAAACTGATGCTGGCTGCCTAGGCTGGAGGACTTCCCTACACCTTTCCAGCTGCCCGAGAGGAAGTGATGACCTAAGCCAGGCTTTCTGAAGCTATAAGCCCCGACTCCCCACTTCTAGTAGGTCACAAAACAGTATCCTCACCACCTTTCTAGGCCTACCCAGAATCAACGTCAGCATTAAGACAAGTGGTTCTCCACTGGGTGCACACAAGAGCCAACCAGGGAGCTTTAATCTCCAGGGAAGGACCTGGGCATCAATCACACTATTTTTAGAAAGGTCCTGGGGGATTCTAACACAAAGCTAGGGAGATACTCACCTAGGTAAATTTCTCTGTGCTACCTGACCTATCTGAGCAGAAAGGAGGCAACTGGGAAGCTCTGACCCAAACTCACAACCAAGGTCTCCCTGGAGAACTGGAGGAAGTAGTAAGGTTAGCTGGGTGGGACACGGAGATACAACCCAGATAAAGCTGGAGATTTGCCTCACTGTTCAGCTCTCCAGGTTTGAAGAAACCTGAAAAGCTTAAAAAAGAAAAAAAAAGGACTTGGAGACAGGTAACTCTTAATTGGGGACTAGTGAACCAACTGAACTCAAGATTTGGTTTGTTGAGTAGGTATGCATCTTTTTGGGGAGGGGAGGGAAGAAGGGAAGATTTTCTGAGTGGTCTATCCCGATAAATATTAAGAATGCTTAGCTGGGTGCAGTGGCTCACACCTGTAATCCTAGCACTTTGGGAGGCTGAGGTGGGTGGATCACTTGAGGTCAGGAGTCCAAGACCAGCCCCTGACCAATATCGTGAAACTTCGTCTTTAAAAAACAGAAAAAAAAAAAAGAAGAACACTTGTTCTAGAATAATGTGCTGGGCTTCTCCCAAAAGAAAGTAGTATCCTTGGTTGTGGCTTTGTCTTCTTTGGCACATTATTTCAGAGCCCAAGACGTACCTGGAAAGTACCAGGACAACCCCCTCACCATCCAAATGGGGATCCTGAAGCCTGAAAGGGTCAGGCAGGACTGACCCAGGTCACAAGAGGTGTTAGTGGAGAGCTGGATCTACAACTCTTGGGTGTCTCATGTCTCAGGACAAATGAACCCGCCAGCAGGGCATCACCTGTCACACTGCCTGGTTAGCAGAAGAACCTGGGTATTCATTCCCAGGCCCATCCCCTCAGGATTCAGATCTTAGTAGGTCTATGGGGGGCAGAAATCTGGGTTGTAACAATCACCTATCCCCAGTGATTCTGATGATGATGCAAAGTTTGAGAAACACCAGGGAATGGGAAGGCCACAATGACCAAAGGAGAAACAAGAGTATGAACAGTTCCTTCTTTGAGGCAGGTCTCCAGGCCCAGAAATGAGCACCTTCCTTTACAAATAAGGCAGATGGGGTTCTACTTGAAGGTGGGAGTGAGATAGGAGGCACCTGCCTCCTTAGTCTTAGAGCCTTTAGGTCTACTAGACAGCAGGCATTCAAGACACTACCAGAATTTACGTCTGTGATCACTTCTCTTTCAAGTCATGCTTTGCTCCAGTCCTGGTAGCCTTCCTGCTGACTCTGGAACATACCACGGCCCTCTCTCATTCTAAGTTTTCCTTACCTCTCCACCCATTTAAGTACCAGCTTATTATAGTCTCACCATCTGACATTGGACTGTGGATAAAAACCTTGAGTCATATATTCATTCATCATTCAATTCATTTTACAGCACTTCTTCAACCTTGGCTAGGCATTACCTCCAATATCCCACTGCAAACCATCTGGGAATGGGCCTGAGGTTATTTGTATAAAATGCAGCATGTCTTTCAAGGGCAATGTGGTGAGAACAAATATTTTAATTGCATATACCTCTAAACTAGCGGTTCTGCAGAATCTGATGAATTCATCCTAAAGATGTTTAAAATGTACTCATTACATCACTATTTGTAAGAGCAACACCACATCTACCATATGGAAGAGCCTATTGGTCAAGGGCGCTAAAGAGCTTTGAAGTCAAATCTGAACTGCTAACCAATTGTGTGACCCGTGGCAAGTCACTTAATATCTCCAGACCTCAGTCTCCTCATTTGTAAAATGGGGGAGTAACAGAGCATACCCTATAGAATTGTTGTGAGGTGAAAATAAATACTTAGCAACGAGATACAGAAATATGTGCTGAATATGGAATGACCTTCAAATCATATTGTTAAGTGGTTAATATGCATGTTTGGCCACATATATTAAGACAATTAAAATAATGACAAAGTTGGAAGAAGAATATGTATGTGTTCACATATGTAGGGAATATATCTCATAAAAAGTAAGAAAATGAGAATGTGAAGTCTGGAAGAAAAACCTCACTTTTCACCCTTTGTACTCTGATTTTTTTTTTTTTGAGACGGAGTTTCGCTGTTGTTACCCAGACTGGAGTGCAATGGCACGATCTCGGCTCACCGCAACCTCCGCCTCCTGGATTCAAGCAATTCTCCTGCCTCAGCCTCCCGAGTAGCTGGGACTACAGGCACGCGCCACCATGCCCAGCTAATGTTTTGTATTTTTAGTAGAGATGGGGTTTCACCTTGTTGACCAGGATGGTCTCGATCTCTTGACCTCGTGATCCACCTGCCTCGGCCTCCCAAAGTGCTGGGATTATAGGCGTGAGCCACCGCGCCCGGCCTGATTTTAATACAAGTTCTGAAAACGAAAGCAAAACCTAAAAATACTCAAACCACTACCAGTAAGTACTATTGCTGATTCTGACATACAGCTAAGAACGGTATCCAGTGGTAATCCAACTGCCTGCTCAGGATGGGGCAGTGGGGACGTGTGACGAAGCTGTGTAAGATACTGGCCTGCCCCAAATGAGCCCCCACTCTAAAGGCAGAGCCATATCACAAACAGAACTCCTGCCCTTAGTGTTAGAGTAGTGGGGAGGGTGACAAGGGTGAGAAATGGCTGAGCTCTGAGCCTACTGCAGCTGAGCTGGGTTCTTACTGCTCTTTGTCTAGGACTAAGAAATTACTGCCAGACCAGGAACTCAGCTGATGTGACCCCTGGCCTGAATAACCACCTCCCCACTACAGTCATGCTTCTTCTGTGACTTCTACATAAAAACTCAGTAAAAGAAGGGTGACTATTGCTAAGGCAAGTGGGCCTGGGAGATGAGGGAGGCCAGGCAGCTGTGTGGCTCCTCAAATCCCAATCCTAGCAGCCCATGCTTGCTTCCTTACCTGTAAAATAGGGCTAATGACAGGTACCTACCTCATAGGGTTGTTGTGAGGACTAAATGAGTTACTGACATTAAAAATAACAACTGACAGTTATCAAGTGTTTAAGCTATAGGTGTGTTAATTCACTGAATCCTCACAACTACCCTAGTAGGTAGACGTAATTATCATCTCGATTTTTTCTTTCCTTTTCTTTTTATTACTGAGATTACATATGTCTCAGGATATCACCTTGCATATAAGATGAGGAAACTGAGGCACAGAGCGGTTAAACTACTTGGTTATACGACAAGTAACAGAAATGAGATTTAAACTTAGACAGTCTGACTTGAGAGCCACGCAAGAACATGCTTTTTTTTTTTTTTTGAGACAGTTTCGCTCTTGTCACCCAGGCTGGAGTGCATTGGCATGATCTTGGCTCACTGCAACCTCCACCTCCTGGGTTCAAGCAATTCTCTCACTTCAGCCTCCCGATTAGCTGGGATTACGGGCACGTGCCACCATGCCCAGCTAATTTTTGTATTTTTAGTAGAGGTGGGGTTTCACCATGTTGGCCAGGCTGGTCTCAAACTCCTGACCTCAAGTGATCCACCTGCCTCAGCCTCCCAAAGTGCTGGGATTACAGGCCTGAGCCCACACCCGGCCAAGAACACCGCTTTTAAAAGTTAATATACAAGTAAAGATAGGACTTGGCTTGTTGTAAGGGCTCAATATGAACTATTATTATAAAGAAGAACGTGCAAACAGTTAGGGTGACTAATTTGGACAAACTGCATGGAGCCCCTTGATTCTCTACCCAGCTAGCTTTCAGGTATCCACTACCCTCCCTCTTCTCTGGCCTCCACCTCTCCCATCTGTCACTGGGGCCAACAGCTCTCCATCCAGCCCTTGGAGGCCCTAACAGCCAGAGCAGCTTCAGCAATAGCCTCTGACTCCTGTCTACAACTGGGGCTTAAGAAAGAGACAGGTCATAGAGAAGCCTGGCTCACCCATGCCAATGCCAATCTCACAGGACACAGAGTGCCTCTCATAATAAGTACTAGGGGAACTGACAGGATGAACTGTATCTAAATTCTAAACTCTCTGGAAGCTGCTTATGCTTTAAATCCAACCTACCTTTGAGGGTAAAGAATAGTATAAGATGACATGAATTCTGGAAGAGTTCTAAAATTCCCTCCTAGCCCTGATATCCTGAAGCTTAAGAAATTAATTACTGGCCAGGCACAGTGGATCATGTCTGTAATCCCAGCACTTTGGGAGGCAGAGGTGGGCAGATCACAAGGTCAAGAGATTGAGACCATCCTGGTCAACACGGTGAAACCCTATCTCTACTAAAAAAATAGAAAAATTAGCTAGGTGTGGTGGCACGTGCCTATAGTCCCAGCTACTCGGGAGGCTGAGGCAGGAGAATTGCTTGAACCCAGGGGGTGGAGGCTGCAGTGAGCCGAGATTGCGCTATTGCACTCCAGCCTGGCATGTGGCAACAGAGCGAGACTGTCTCAAAAAAAAAAAAAAAAAGAAAAAGAAATTGATTACTGCTCACCTTCTATCCCCCTTTCATTAGGACTTTAGTCTGTCCCTTTCAGCAGCCCACATAAGCCACTCTAAATGATCTTCCTGTTAGGGCGAGTTTCCAGTTTGCCCTGCCTTCTCCCATGAGTCCACTATTCCATGCTTGAGGATTTATGGCAACACAGTCCCAGAAGACCCATGATGACGACTTGGGAGGTAAGGGATTCCCTACCCATCAAGCCTAGAACCCACAGTTTTTAGCTCCATTGTTGGTTTGGCCTTCTTAGCCACGTGACATCTGTTCCAGGTCTCCCTCCTGCTGTGTTCCCATCTCTAAGGGTGGAGACTCACCAGCACTGTTGGCCTCCGACTCCAGCAGGTGGATGTCATTGCAGTCCGCCAGTGAGTGCTCTAGGCAGAGCTGCAGGAAGCGGGCCTGGGTACGGGTGACCCGTTTCAGAAGTGACAGCAGGGCCACTGTCTGCTCACACTCATTCCAGCCCTTGAACCAGCCAGCGAGGATGCCCACCTGGTCTCGGAACATCATGGTGCCAGGCCTGGGGCCAGGGTGGGGGGACGGCGGTGGCAAGGGCCAGCGCCGTCACATCGTCCCGGCTCTGGCCTCCTGTTACCTTTCCCCTGAGGGCCAGGGCTTAAGGACGTTTCTGGGCGTGGTGGCAACGGTTGTCGGGGGAGGAGGAAGCCTGCTCACATGGGGGGAGGTCTTGGTCCAGCCACACCTCTTCAGTCTCCTGAAAAAGGAAGCAAAGGGGTCAAACAGAAATAAGGGGCTGAAACTTGCCTGATGAGTGTGGGTTGAGGGGGCATGAAGGCCTTATGTGTTTCTCTTTCAGGGTACTTGCTCTGCTGAGCTCCTAGAAGAAAGATGAAGCCAACACCAGATATTAAATCAACTTTCACTCAAACGTCCAAATCCAGAGAAAAGGCTTGGTGGGACTTAGATGCCTATCCCAGAGACCAAGGAGATGCTGGCCCTCACACCTGGCTATCATAGTGTCAAAGGAAGTGGATTTAATGTAGAAAATAAATTGGAAAGATTTTTCAGAAATGGGAAATAGGAGGCTGCAAATTATGAGAAAAGATATGAATTGATGGCAATCTGGCCCAAGGTGACATGACTAAGCAGTGCATATCTCTGACCTTGCTGGTTTCTGGCCACCTTCTTTGAGAGCTGGACACTGTGACTACTAACCTACTGATAGGACTCCAAGGGCTCTCTCTCTCTCTCTCTCTCTCTCTCTCTTTTTCTGGAAACGGAGTCTCGCTCTGTTGCCCAGGCTGGAGTGCAATGGTGCAATCTCAGCTCACTGCAACCTCTGCCCCCAGGGTTCAAGTGATTCTCCTGCCTCAGCCTCCAGAGTAAGTAGCTGGGATCACAGGCATGCACCATCATGCCCAGCTAATTTTTGTATTTTTAGTAGAGATGGGGTTTCACCATGTTAGTCAGGCTAGTCTTGAACTCCTGACCTTGCAATTCGCCTGCTGGGATTAGGTGTGAGCCACTGTGCCCGGCCAAGGGCTCTTTAAATTACTTCAAGCTAGACCCAAAATGCTGAGTACAGGATGGATGGTGGGGTAGTGACCCTGGCAGAGATCTCAGGTATGCAGCTGGCCATCTGATCAGTAACTGGCTGGGTATCTATCAGGTATGGGCATGGTCAGAGGCCTTTTCAAATATCACCAACAGGCTGAGGGAATCTCACCCTCTTGAACCCAGCTCCCTGACTCTGGAAAAGGTACAGCTCTGATTTTTCAGATTTTACCTACCTCTACTTTGAGGTGAATCACTCTCTGCCCTCTTAATCTCCCCGAAGGCTGCTCCAAACCCAAACTCTCTGGTTGGGAAGTCCCCCTGACTTCCAGAGACGCCAGCCTGTCTCAGACTCCTCCTAGGAGCCAAGAAAATGCCAACCTGAGGGGAAGGGGACAGACCAAAGTAAAAAACTCACCAGCTAGGAAGTGTCCAAATTCCTCTCTTAGACAGGAACTACAGAGAAGTTACTTCAACTGGGCAAACAACAGATGTATTTTTCAGTTTGCTGGTTTCTGGACACCACTCTGAAGCCTTTTTCTAAGTGTCTTGAGCTCCAGGTCTCCACTCAACATTTCCTCCATCTGTCTCTCTTGCAACCAGTGCCCTTGGCTCTATCCTCAAACCACATTCAGCTCCATCCCCCTTTGGCTGCCAAAGGACTAAGGCTCCTTGGACTGAGAACTTCATACAAAGACCCATTGAACCTATACTGGGCTCAGGTCTAAGGGAGCTACTTATTACTCTCTGAACTTCTGTGCGCTTGCTGAAGAGAACTGTGGGATGCATGAGGCAATAGCTGTGACTTGCCTCACGGATACCCTGTGGGACCCCTAAATAGAGTGAACTGGCCTGGCTGCCAATCCCTTTGGATATAAGAAGCAGGAAAGGTATGAGGGAAAATGAAATCTTGCTCCAAGTTAAACAAGCATCCAACAATTTTTTTTTTTTGAGACGGAGTTTTTTGCTCTTGTTGCCCAGGCTGCAGTGCAGTGGCACGATCTCAGCTCACCACAAACTCATAACCACTGCTTCCTGGGTTCGAGTGATTCTCCCGCCTCAGCCTCCCGAGTAGCTGGGATTACAGGCATGCACCACCACGTCTGGCTAATTTTGTATTTTTGGTAGAGACGGAGTTTCTCCATGTTGGTCAGGCTGGTCTTGAACTCCTGACCTCGGGTGATTCACCCACCTCAGCCTCCCAAAGTGCTGGGATTACAGGTGTGAGCCACTGCACCTGGCCCAGCAATTTCTTTTAAAGGGGAAATCAGATGTCACCTCCCTGACCTAAAATTCTCCAATGACTTCCCATTGCACTTAAGTAAAATCTAAACAAGGTCAGGTGTGGCGGCTCACGCCTGTAATCTCAGCACTTTGGGAGGCCAAGGTGGGTGGATCACTTGAGGTCAGGAGTTTGAGACCAGCCTGGCCAAAGTGGTGAAACTCCATCTCTACTAAAAACATAAAAATGGCCAGGCGCGGTGGCTTTTCGCCTATAATCCTAGCACTTTGGGAGGCCGAGGCGGGTGGATCACGAGGTCAAGAGATCAAGACCATCCTGGTCAACATGGTGAAACCCCGTCTCTACTAAAAATAAAAAAAATTAGCTGGGCATGGTGGTGCGCACCTGTAGTCCCAGCTACTCGGGAGGCTGAGGCAGGAGAATTGCTTGAACCCAGGAGGCGGAGGTTGCGGTGAGCTGAGATCGCACCATTGCACTCCAGCCTGGGTAACAACAGTGAAACTCCGTCTCAAAAAAACAAAAAACAAACAAACAAAAAAACATAAAAATTAGTCTGGCATGCTAGCGCACGCCTGTAATCACAGCAACTTGGGGGGCTGAGACATGAGAATTGCTTGAAGCTGGGAGGCAGAGGGTGCAGTGAGCCAAGATTGCACCACTGCACTCCAGCCTGGGTGACAGAGCGAGACTGCCTCAGAAAAAAAAATCTAAACAAATTCCAAACTTCTTAACTTGGCCTACAGAGCCCTATAGGACTCCTGTGGCCTCTCCAACCTCATCTTGTACCAAATTCTTTCTTGTTCAGTGAAATACTCTTCCGCTAGAGACTGGCCCTACTTGTCATTCAGGTCTCAGCACACTGTCATTTCCTCAGAGAGAGAGCTTTCCTGACCATCCAATCTCAGGTGTTTCTCCTCCAATTCTATTAATACTATTTCATTCCTTTTATATAATATGGCACCCTCAGGTATCATCTTATTTATGCTTCTCTTGTCCGACCAAAATGCAAGCTATACAATCAGTCAGTGCCTACAACAGTGCCTGATACATAGAAAAATGCTCAATATTTATTTAGTGAATAAATAAATAGCTACAGAAGATGAATGTGGAAGCCACACTTGGCATTTCTACAGTCCTGGGGGGAAAGAAAATAGAAGGAACAGCTCACAGGATGGCAAAGGGATTTGGAAACCTTAAGAAAAAAAAAAAAAATTGAAGGCACTGAGGAGATTTCCCCTGGGGAAAAGAAGACTCAAGGAAAATGGCATAAATGACTTTGAATATCTGAAGAGGCAGCACACAGAAGAGGAACTATATTTGTTCTTTGCTCTAGAGGAGAAAAGCAGGGTAGATGACTCTAAGGGAGTCACAACATGGGATATGGTAAATGCTGAAAGTCAAGAAAATTCAGTTCTAGTCCTGCCCCAAGTTATGGATTCACTTTGATCTTGGGGCTAGTCTGTTCTCTTCTCTAGAATGTGGGATAAGGAGCTAAACTGGGTGTGACATGACTAATAGGTTTTACCTTACAGGCTAACTCCAATTGATTGGCAGTGGATACCTGGTGCACTGTGATGAGAAGAATCCCGAATAAATTAATGGGAATATCCATCAATGCAGAACGATTAATAAACTGGGGCAGATCCCACAGTGTATGATATAACATATCTATTAAAAACATGCCTAATGTAGCCAGGCAAGGTGGCTCACTCCCATAAAACTAGCACTTTGAGAGGCTGAGGCAGGTGGATCCCTTGAGGTCAGGAGTTCGAGACCCACCTGGCCAACATGGTGAAACTCTATCTCTACTAAAAATACAAAAATTAGCTGGGTGTGGTGGCCGGCACCTGTAGTCCCAGCTACTTGGGAAGTTGAGGCAGGAGAATCGCTTGAACCCAGGAGGCGGAGGTTGCAGTGAGCTGTGATTATACCACTGTACTCTAGCCTGAGTGACAGAGGGAGACTCCATCTCAAAACAAAACAAAAACAAGGCTATATACAATGTTTCATCTGTAACTATTTAGAGGGATGTCCATAAGCTACATAGTAACATGTACAATATAACGCCCCCCTTTTTTTTTTGATATGGAGTTTCGCTCTTGTTGCCTGGACTGGAGCACAATGGTGCGATGTGGGCTCACTGCAAACTCAGCCTCCCAGGTTCAAGTGATTTTCCTGCCTCAGCCTCCTGGGTAGCTGGGATTACAGGCATGCGTCACCCTGCCCGGCTAATTTTATATTTTTAGTAGAAATGGGGTTTCTCTATGTTGGTCAGTCTGGTCTTGAACTCCTGACCTCAGGTGATCTACCTGCCTCGGCCTCCCAAAGTACTGGGATTACAGGTGTGAGCCACCACACCTGGCCAATATAATGCCATTTGCGTGATTTCAAAAAGCCACATACAAAACCCCTTACATATTTTATATACGAATATATGTTTGTATGTGTATAACTGTAAAGAAGAATATACCCCAGGCTGCTAACACTATCTTGGAGAAAAGGGGAATTATTAACACTATCTTTATATAACTTTGTACTATTTCACTAGTTGCAAATGAATATATATTACTTTTATAATTTTTGAGAACGAATTTAATTAAAAACAATTTTAAGGCAGCATACTTCCTGACTCAGTGAGAAACAGTGCTGTGATTAATTATCAATGTTTGCCCTGGATGCAGGGTGGATGAGTGGTAGCTCATGCACCTAAAAAAAAATCAGTTTTCCTTCTCAGCTCCAGCATTTTATGTCTTTCAGTCCCAAGGAGGCAGCAGCTGCCTCAACATAAGGAAGAATTTTAAAATAACGCATCTGTCCAAGAATGGAACTGGCTGCCATGTGGGGAGGTAATGAGCTCCCTGGCTGCTGGAAGTGGTCAAGCGGAGGCTGGATGAACATCCCTTGGGAGTGGGAGGGATTCCTTCACTGGGTGGCAACTCATAAGATAGAAGGACATGTTACTATTTCAGAGGGAACATTTGTGACGGGAGGTTTGATATGCCAACAGCATTTACAGCAAAAAAAACGACCAAATCCACAAACAGACCAAAGTTGTGCACACTCTTTCCCATAAATTCTTTAACTGGGTTGTTCCTTTTCCTAAGCAACAGCACTGTACCCCCATCCCACCCTGCCCAAATGAGCTGCTGACTAAACATTAATCCAGCTTTCCCCGCCAGGCCAAATGCAAGAAGCAAAGCTTTAGGATGTCTCAAACATGATGCTTACAAGGACAGGCTTTGAAAAAAGCAGGCCAACTGGGACTATGGTGAATTGGAAAGTCCACATCAGGTCTAAAGGGAGAAGTCACGATTTAGCTCTCACCTGCTTACTATGAAGGAATATGGGTCTAGTAGTGTTAGGTCTTAGTATTTTCTTTTTCCCTAAAGAGGAGCTAGATATTTGGATTTTAAAGTAAATTGCCCTTTTTTTAAATATGGGAAATGAATCACATTAAAACAACAGTGAACTACTACACAGAACAAGACACACCTGTGGTCCTTGGAACAGCTAAGCACAAGCTAGAAAAAGACTAGAAGTCTGCTAACTATTCCTCCCTTGGGCTTGTTTTTTTTTTTCCTTTGAGACAAAGTTTCACTCTTGTTGCCCAGGCTGGAGTGCAACGGTGCAATCTCCGCTCATCGCAACCACTGCCTCCCAGGTTCAACGGATTCTCCTGCCTCACCTCCCAAGTAGCTGGGCTTATAGGCATGTGCCACCATACCCAGCTAATTTTTTGTATTTTTAGTAGAGATGGGGGTTTCTCCATGTTGGTCAGGCTGGTCTTGAACTCGTGACCTCAGGTGATCTGCCCGCCATGGCCTCCCAAAGTGCAGATATTACAGGTGTGAGCCACAGTGCCCGGCCTAGGGCCTCTCTGGTTTATACCTTCAAGCCATCTCAATGCTCAGGGAACATGACCTGTGGAGATCTAGTGATGAAGGATGATTCTGACAGTCTTCAGTAAACGCTGGAGGCTTTAGTGAAACAGTTACTTTGAAGATTTCATTGTTAAAAAAAATGTCATCCCTGAAGGAAGGGTTCCTATGTCCTCTGGATGAGAGAAGGATGCTTTGTGTTTGGTCTGGATGTTAACTGGAGAGGACTGGATGGCCTTCTTCCATTAAAGGGCCAGAGGCTCCCTGCTACCATCTATTCCATTTGCTTGGCTGCGGTGAGAGAGGGAGACCTGGGTGAGGCATCTCACTATGGCAGCATCTAACTGTAATGAATTCTGGTAGATTTGCCTGCCAAATATCCATTTCCATCTTCTAGCATCAACACCCTGGGTTCCCCTTGGAGAAGGAACTGCCTTTCTTGGCTCCAGAAGTGGACACAAGGTTAACTCCGGCCAAGGACAGTCCTCTCTGGATTTTTGCTGGAATTACTAAGGAGAATAAGTTCTTGGTTAGGGTTGCTCAGATTATACATCATTTTGTGATGTTACTGGTTGCCACCTCTTCTATTTTATGGTGGAAGCCTGCTTCAGAATGAAACTAACACAGATGACAGCAGAGTCAAGAGATCGGGAAGAAGGAAGGGGAGATCTGTTCGCTTGATTTGAAACCAAGATCCAGCTAGCCTGAAGCCTCCCCCTTGTGGCCCACTCTTTTCAGTTACATAGATGAATAAATTCCTTTTTGGCTTAGGCCAGTTTGAGTGGAGTTTCAGTTAAAACTAAAAGAGGCTTGACAATTCCCATGCAAGAGAGAATTCACGAATGGTCTGGTCTCTGCCCTCTTATGACCAAAAATGACTCCCTAGCTTTGAGGAAAGACACAAGAGGGGAACCTCTATAACAAAAGTCTCTCTGACAGCCCAGCAATATTGCTGCCATACTTGAAGCAGCAGCCCCTACCAACTCCAGAGGTGGGAAACGAAGCTAACAAAATAGTTAAGGGGGCTGGGCGCAATGGCTCACACCTGCAATCCCAGAACTTTGGGAGGCCTGGGCGGGCGGATCGCTTGAGCTCAGGAGTTTGAGACCAGCCTGGGCAAGATAGTGAAACCCTGTCTCTACAAAAATACAAAAAAGTTAGCCGGACGTGGTGTTATGCACCTGTAACTCCACCTACTTGGGAGGCTGAGGCGGGAGAATGGCTTGAACCTGGGAGGCAGAGGCTGCAGTCAGCCAAGATCATGCCACTGCACTCCAGCCTGGGCAATAGAGTGAAACCCTACCTCAATTAAAAAAACAAAACAAAACAAAAAACTAAAGTTTCTAAACCAGCTTGGGCAACATGGCAAAATCCCATCTCTACAAAAAAAATAAATCCAAAAACTAGTTGGCCATGGTGGTGTGCACCTGTAGTCCCAGCTACTCAGGAGGCTGAGGTGGGAGGGATCACTTGTTTTGGAGGTTGAAGCTGCAGTGAGCTGAGATCCCTGCACTCCCACCTGGGTGACAGACAGACCCTCCCGAAAAAAGAAAAAAGAAAGAAAGGGAAAAAAAAAGGGCTAAGATATTCCAGGTCAAACTACCCTCTGGGCTCCTTCCCTAGTCCCAAACAGTGAGAAAAGGCCCATCTTGCCCATAAACAGCACCTCTGGATGCCGGCTCTCGTCATCCAGAAGCAGCACAGTGGAGTCAGTTGGACCTGGCTTAAATCCTGGCTCTCCTGCTATACTTAACTTGCTATATTGACTTTTGGCAAGTAACTCTGTTTCTTCCTCAATGAAGCTTGCTATAAGAATTAAATGAGGCCAGTCGCGGTGGCTCAAGCCTGTAATCCCAGCACTTTGGGAGGCCAAGGCGGGTGGATCACGAGGTCAAGAGATGGAGACCATCCTGGTCAACATGGTGAAACCCTGTCTCTACTAAAAATACAAAAAAAATTAGCTGGGCATGGTGGCGCGTGCCTGTGATTCTAGCTACTCAGGAGGCTGAGGCAGGAGAATTGCCTGAACCCAGGAGGCGGAGGTTGCAGTGAGCCGAGATCGCACCATTGCACTCCAGACTGGGTAATAAGAACCAAACTCCTTCTCAAAAAAAAAAAAAAAAAGAATTAAATGAAACAATGTATTTAAAAATACCTAGCATGAGGCTCAACCTCCATACTTCATTACAATAGAAAGCATTATGCTTAGCATGTCTTCATACATCATAAATTGTCAGGCCCTTTGCTAACAGTTTTCCATGGATAAGCACATTTTATCCCAAAAACTCTATTTGAAAAATATATTACACACACGATATGTGATTATCCTCATTTTACAGATGAAGAAACTGAAGTACAGAGAACCTAAGTCACTTTGCCCAAGACTGCACACTCCTAGTTCTTTTACAACATGACCTAGGCCTTTGAGGAACTCATACTTCATGAACAAGATAATAGGCTAGTTACCTAGGGTTAACTCACCATCCTAATCTGAGAAGAGACTGTCAGAAGCCAAGGGAGCCCAACTTCTCTTATCAGAACCATTATTTCCAGAAACTCCTGAAATATGTACACAAAATACGTATACTACTGCATTAGCAAAGAAGGAGCTTTTTGTATGAATGGTCCCGGGGAAGGGAGGGAGATGGGGGAAGAAGCCAGGCAGGGCCTCCTGGAAGATACACACAGTATGGGGAGCTCTGGGAAACTCTGGAATAGAGCAAAAGCTAGTGTTCTTCCTCCCACTCCTAGATGTGTTGACACCCCTTCCCTCTGAAAAGTTTATCCTCTGCTCCTTTTCCCTTCTTTACATTTGTTTTCTCTCACCTAGGAATGTAATCAATTCCTGTAGATTCAATTATCACCTCTCTGTGGACAATGGAGACATTTTTTGAGTCAGCTTTGACTTCTTCCATTTCCCAAAGACCCAGTCATCAGGTCTTGCTATTTCTTGTTTTAAAAATGTCAGCTAAACATGCCTTCCTTACCTTTACCCAAACCCAAGTGGTTCTAGATCCAGACTGCCGGGTTGGAAATATAAGCCTGCCACTTACTACCTGTGTAATTTTGGGCAAGTGATTTCACCTTGCTGTGCCTGTTTTGTCATCTGTAATGTGGATTTAATAACAGCACCTACTGAGGAGGAAGACAAAAAATAATAATAGTGCCTACTCTCATAGAGTTGTGAGGCATAAATGACTTGGTTATTATCATTATCCTAGATTTCTCTCTTTCTCTAATTCCATCATCAAGTTCTGTTTTCTCTACACCCAAAATATACCTGCTTCTCTCCATCTTCACTACCACCACCCTCACATCCATGTCACCATTTCTTATCTGGACAAATGGATTGCCTCCTAACTTGCCTCCCTGATTCCTGTCCTGACCCTCTGTTTTCCTCCCAGAAACCAAAGTGAGCTTTCTAAAAAAATTAATCCAATCATGTCACTGTCTTGCTTTTAAAAACTCCTTTCTAATGGTTCCCAATCTCCTTAAAAGAAAATGGAAACTCCTGCAGGGCGCGGTAGCTCATGCCCGTAATTCCATCACTTTGGGAAGTTAAGGCTGGTGAATCACAAGGTCAGAAGTTCCAGACCAGCCTGACCAACATGGTAAAACCCCATCTTTACTAAAAATACAAAAATTAGCTGGGTGTGGTGGCACGTGCCTGTAATCCCAGCTACTCAGGAGGCTGAGGCAGAAGAATCCCTTGAACCTGGGAAGCAGAGGTTGCAGTGAGCCGAGATGGTGTCATTGCACTCCAGCCTGGGCGACAGAGCAAGACTCTGTCTCAAACAAAACGAAACAAAACAAAAAAATAAAATGGAAACTCCTTACTATGGCCGTTAGGCCCCAAGTGATCTGGCTTCTGTCAAGCTTTCCAACCCCTTGCCTCTTTCCCTCTCTTAAGCTTTAGCCACACTGGTCCTTGCTATTCCCTGAACACATCTCAGGGCTTTTGCACCTGCTGACCTCCCTGCCTGAAATGCTCTTTCCCAGATCATCACAAGGTTGGTTCCTGCTCATCAAACAGATCTGTGCTCACCTGTGCCCCATTCTGCCTCATCTCCCCAGTAGGAAGGGGTCTGCGATATCATCATCAGGAGATGTTTCTTCAAAGGCTGCAGCTCTTCCAAAAACACCTTGTGTAAGATCCACAAGAAGGGAAGACTGTAGCTATATTATTCTACATCTCCAATTCCGAGCATATCACCTGGTACATAACAGGCCCTCAATAAATATCTGTGATAAATTTCCCCACCTTGCAAGCAGTCCTTTTTCTGCAAGTAACAATGCTTAGATTAGAATGTTCCACTCCCAGATCTTCCCACAACTGGTACCCTCTCATCTTTCTGGTTATCAGGCTCAACTGTCACCTCCCAAAAGAGGCCTCTTCTGATCCCCGTGTCTACAGTGGCCACTCCCACCCTCTCTTTCACACTGTTTTTTTCCTTCATAGCATGAATCATACTCTGATTTCTTTGTGCTTCCTCCCTCTATCAGAATATAAATTCCATGAATTTCAGGACCTTGATTGTTTTATTCACTGCTCTATCTCCAGTACCTAGAACAGTGCCTCCACACATTGTTTAATGAATGAGTGCAGGCTGGAGACATTTGAGACCTGCATACTCTATACACTGTGGTTCTGTAACTCGCCCTTAACCAGCTTCTATTCAACAAGTTTACACTAAAACAAAACAAAACTCCACTCACAGCAACCCTATTTAACTCTTCCAAAGTTCCGTGTCTTGGAAATCTAAAGCTGAGGTGAGGATATTAGCCAGTACTCCTGGATTCTGCTGCCCTGAGGCTACCACCAAGCCAGGCTGCACCTCATAACACCTGTGACATCCCAAAGTAAAGTGTAGTGGGGTCAGATCAGCCATAAACTCTCTCTAGACCCAAGAATCACAGAGCAGAGAATGATTAGGGCTGGGGGACAGTTAGGAGGAAGACTGCCATCAATGCTCAGAAAGTTCATGGGACAGAATCACAGGCCTATTTGGCTCAGCAAGCCAGAGACTGAGTTGCAGGGTACAGAACCCAAAATATGTCTCTAAGATCTTCTGGCATAATCTCACATCTATTCAGGGAAGAAACTATTTTCAATCTGGGACTCTCAAGAAAGAGTTCTTTTCACTAAGGCTTTCCAAGGAGGTAGGGTTAAAACCTGGGGCTGCTAAGGACCATCTTTGTCACCCAAAGCAGAAGCTTGTTGATAATAAAGCTAACTCAGTGGAGAAATGGGAGGAAATGACTAAGAAAATTATTTGAACACCTGGATGCAGCTAGGTCTGAAGCCAACACAGCTCTGGACTTTTCAGTAGCAAGAGCCAATTAATTCCCCGCTTTCCTGATTAAACCACTTTGAGCTAAGGTTTTATCACTTTATGTTTTTAGAGTTCTGACTGATATGTTTTTTTTTTTTTTTTTTGCTAACATTGCACTTATGGGCAAGGCATTGTTCTAAGTACTTTACATGCATTAACTTATTTAATTCTCCTAACAATTCTATGAATTTAAGTAGAGTAACATTATTTCCTTCATTTTTTTAGCTGTGGAAACTAAAAGACCAGAGATGTTAAGTCATTTATCCTAGGGCACAAAACTGGTGAGTGATAATGTGGGATGCAAATCCTGTCCAGAACCAGGGTCCACATACCTAACTACAACAGCCAAACCTATCTTAACTAAAAATCCAATTTTTTGACCCAAGGCATTACCATCTTAGAATGGACAGTGCCCACAGACCTATTAGTTTAACCTGTACTTAATCTCACCATATGCAAAATAAGGATAATGGTAGTTTACCTACCTCACAAGGTTCCTATGAATACATGTAAAGCACTTAAACAGTGTCTGACAGTTAGAAAGCATTCAAAAACCAGTGTCCATTATTCTTATTACTCTGCAGGCCACTAAAGCGCAGCTGGCAAATACAATGCAAATGGAGGAAATCTGTCTTCTTTCATCTCTATCTTTTGGGTGAAGAGAAGAGATAACATGGGTGACAGATGAGGAGGCTTTCTTGTCTTTGACCCATTGCTTAAGCTGTTTCCTCTGCCTGGGAGGCACCATCACTGTTCCAATGCCTGTGGAACACTACCCAGCCCAACTACTACCTTTTCTGTGAAGTCCTTCCAAATAAAAGGCTCCCTCTTACTGCTGAATTTCTACAGCATATAATTTGTACCTTGTTTTCTGCTCTGTACATGCCCAAGCCCCCTAACTGGTATTGTGAGCTCCCTGAAGTCAGGCCCCAGTGTTTACCCTGGGGTCTGTTTCCCCTTGTGGGCCCTGAGAGAAACAGAATCCCCTGAAAAAAGTTGAGAGCTCTGTGGAGGTCCCACACTTATCTGCTGAGAGGGGCTGCTAAGAGAAGCCAGCCAGGATGGGGTGAGGCAGGCAAAGGACTTGAGGTAGCTCAGAATCAGGAAACAGCACAAAGAAAAGCCCCAAAGACAGGAGCAGTTGGAGCAGGAGGAAAGGCAAAGGGTGCTGTGTGGAGAAAAGAAGGGAGGTGAGAGGAGAGGAGGGGCAGGGAAGGTGTGCTAAACCTGAATGGGGAGTGAGATCTGAGGAACTTGGAGATTTCTGGCCAAATGCAGAAGGCAGAGCTGCTTATTCTCCAGTGATTTTCAATAACTTACAAAGGGTAGAGCCCACCTTGTGAGATTCAGAGAACAAGACACATCCTGTACTTTCAGAGTTCCCAGTCCAGTGAGGGTGAGTGGACAAGTACATGAAAAACTACAAGGCTGAAGGTGAATGGTGTTCTAAGGAGTACAATGGGGGTGGAGGGGTCTTGGCAGTAAGACACAGAATGAAAAGACCTCCTGAGGGTGGCTATGTGGAGGGATGGATGGACAAGAAGACATGGATATGTGTGTTCAAAGACGCGGCAATTTATCATTTTTTTCTTTGTTTTTTCTTCTTTCTTTCTAAAGAAGAAGAGAGGCAGCAATTTAAAGCAGAAGCACTAAAGGCTGGGGGGTGGGCTGGAGGGGTAGCCAGAAAGAGAAAGCACTGAGGAACATCTGAAAAGATACCATTCAAAGGTAGAATCTGAAGTAACTGCTCAGGGGATGGAGTAACCTTGTTGAGAAGCCAAGATCCTTTCAAGGTAGGTAAGAAATCTTTCTGGAGAATGGGTACTTTGTAAAGGGGATTCCTAGGAAACAGGAAAATAGCAGTGGGCTGTAGGGCAGAGGCATACCCTGAGGCATCTTTCAGGAAGTTTTTTTGTGGGAAAAATAAAATCCTCCTAGAAGGCACAGGTTCTCAAACTTGTGTGTGCATCAGAATTACCTCAAAATTACCAGGAGGGTTTGTTAAAACTCAGATTGCTGGGCCCTGCTCCCAGGTTTTCTAATTCAGTAGATCTGAGTGGGACTCAAGAATGTGTATTTCTAACAAATGCTGCTGCTGCTGCTGGGCGAGGAACCACACTTTGAGAACCACAGCTAGAGGGGAAAGGATTCTTTGGTGAGGAGGCCCTCAAAGGGGAAAAGGAAGAAGGCTTCTGAAAGGCAAACAGGGAGAATCTTGTCTCTAACGAGGGTGTTAAGGGTCTCTCGGTCACCGAAGGGAAGAGGGGTCTATGAAGATGGGACCTAAGAAAAATGGTCTGAAGAAGAGATCTTGGAGCATTGGGAATTCAAGGGGGTGGGAAAGGTGTCTCTCAAGAATCTTTACAAGGAGACGTAGAGGTTCTGGGAGAACAAGTCTGGAGAATGTTGTGGGCCTCTGAAGAGATAATGGGGAAAGGGGGCCCCCTGAGAAAGGTCTCTGAGTTGACTTCAGAGGAAAGAGAATGGGGAAATGAGAGGGTGTAAATAGGAATTCTTAACTTAGCGGGGAAATCTGATAGGGTCCTCAATGTTCCTTGGGGATGTCAGAAGTGGAATCTGAGGCAAAGTTCTGAGGAAGTCTCAGGAAGCGTTGGGAGTGGGTGGCTGATGGAGGGCAATTTTGGGGAAAATTTCTCTAAATAGTGTGTGAAGGTGTGGTCTTCTGAGACTGATCCTGGGTGTCCTGGAGCGGGATGACAGAGGGATCTCTTTAGGAAAAACTCTTCAGAGATCTCAGGTAAGGAGAAACCTGAGTAAAGTCACCAAAAGAGTATATTCTGAGAGTGTCAGAGGAGAATGCTTTTCAGAAAGAATTCTAGGACTTGCTCTGAGAGTTATTTTGGGGGAAATTAAGGTGTGTGAGGGTCTTCTACAGGGGATTCTAGAGGATTTAGAGAACCTGTGTGGACAAGTTCGGGGGGGAAATCTCTATATTGATTCAAGGGTTTTGGGGTGTCAGGAAGGTCTCCGGGAGAGATTTGAAGAACATATGTCAGGAGGGCTCCAGGGGGGTTGCTGGGGTCTCTAAGCTGTGTGTGTGTGTGCTGGGGGAGGGTTTAAGTCCTGAAAACCTGCATCTCAGAAGGGTCACCAAGAAAATGTTAGCATCTTACAGGGTTGTGAGGACCTTCAGAAAATTCCTCTAAAACCGATCTGCAAGGGGGGATTCTGAGGTGTTAGCAAAGGGCACTTTTAGGGGATCTGAAAGAGAAACCAAGAGAAAACTTTTCAACATCCTTAAACAATTTTTGGGGCATGTGATGTGGAGGACTGGAAAAGATGTGGGGTATGTAAAAGGGGTTTTGGAAGAGCCTTTTGGAATGAGATTGAGAGTCCTCTGGAGATTTCAGGCAATTGCTGAGAGTTTTGGAATGAGAGGGGGTGGGGAAGGGGGTTCTGGGGAAGATCGTTGGGCTACATGACAGTGATCTCTAGGGCATTTCAGGGTGCTGAAATGTGGGGGAGGGGACAGGAGGCCTCTGTGGGAGACTTTTAGGATCTATGGAAAGGTCTAGAAGAATACGTGAAGGGGGAGTGTGTACAAGAAATGATTGAAATATGGTGGGGAGTGGAATGAGGTATTCCAGGTAAGTTTTTGGGATTTGGGGTCATTTCAGAAAGTCTGTGAGGAAGATTTATTTTGAGGATATAGGAAGAAGATCTTCAGTGAAGACGATGGGGGGCATTCTGAAGGATTCCTGGGAGGGGGACTCAGAAACGCAGGGGGTATGAGCAAAAAATCTCTAAGGAGGTTTCTGGAATGGGGTAAACGGGAGAGAAAATTCTTAGGATCCGGGAGGAGAAAATCGGGGTGAGCCTGCTGGGTTGTGAGAGGTAGGGCTCCGGGGGAGAGTTCTGGAATGGACGGGGGTCCGGAGGGTGCCTTGGGGAGGTGTGCAGGGCTCGTGAGGGAGGCTCCTGGAGCAGCTATAAGAGCCACGCTGTGGAATGGACGAGGAGTGGCCTCCGCGGACTATTTCTGGAGACAGGAGGAGGACGGGGGCTTCGGGGCCAAAGGGTGGGGGTCTGCGAGGAAGGCTGCTGGGACCCACGAAGGGCTCGGGGAGGCGGCTCCATGAAAGGGGTGGGCTCCGCGGGGGCCATCTGGGGCGCACACGGGGGCTCGGCAGGGTTTCCGGGGCTCTCCGAGGGGGATGAGCGGGGGGTCCTGAGGAGGGGCAGCCGGCCCCTCGGTGATCCCGAGGGCGTGAGGAGGATTTCGGAGTGAAGCTTCTGCCGGGGCCCAGGAGGGAGACTGGGGACGGGCGCGGGGCTTCTCCCACGGGCCCAGTCCCCTGAGGCCCGCGCTCCGCACCCGCCCGCCGCCGCCGCCCGCGGCTCGGGGTCCCTGAGGGGGCGGGGCCGCCCGCGCGGCCTGGGTCGCCCTGAGGGGAGCCCTGCGCGCCCTGACCCGCCGCCGCCCCTCGCCGGCCCGTCTTGAGACTCACCGCCTCGGCCTTCGCCTCCGCCGCCGCCGCTCGGGCCTCCTCAGGCCACCGCCGCCGCCGTCGCCCCCTCTCCTGCCCGCGAGCTCCCTCCCTCCTCCCGCACCGACAGCCGCCGCCGCCACCGCCGCCGCCGCCGCGCTGCGTCACCGCGCCGTGCGTCACCGCCCCTGGCCCCGCCCCGACGGGGGGCCGCCGCGCGCCGGCATAGCTCTAGCCCGGGTGACGAACGGCGCGACAGCCAACGGGCGGGGAGGGCAGCCCGAAGGGCGGGAGGTGTGCGCGGAGAAAGGCGGGGTCCCGGCGAGGAGGAGAGCGACGGGGGTGGAACGGGGCCCAAGAGGCCCGCCCGCCTCCTCAGCGGGATTGGTCAGACGTAGGGGTGACGGGTAGTCGGCCAGGCCGGGGGGGTTCGGGACTGGGGGGGCGGGGCAGGGGCGGGGCGCGCGGCGTTGCCCAGGGCAACGGGTCCGGTGGCGCCTGGGATTGGGCCTCCAGGCCCGCAGGGGGCAGGCTCGCGCGAGTCCACTCCAGCGTCCCAGAGGGAAGTCACAGTTCCTGATTCTGGCGTTCCAGGCCTCCTCCTCCCCGCCCCTCGGGTGGCCTTCCCCACCCAAAGCTGTCCCCAGTGGGCATCTGTACTCGAGCTTCTGAGGATTCGGCTTTCTCATTGCGGTGTTCTGAGCCTGCCACTTCCTCTCTTGGATGGGAATGGCGAGGCGAGATCTAGCCTTTAGGGTGGGAAGAGAATGCACCGAAAGCGGTCGGGATGAAGGAGGCCGTCAATAAACGGGAGTTGTTGCTATGGCTTTGGTTGTGATCTGCGCGTTCCACAAACTGTCCTGGGTCTGGATGAACTAATTAGAGGGGACTGATCAGAAGGCTCTCGGTGACAGAGATCTGGCTTCTTACTGGCACTCAGAGAGGCAGTCGGGGTGGACGGTCGACTTGAAGACAGGGAGGGGTGAGGAACGGGCAGAGGCCAGTTGTTTGCTTGGCCACTGGAGGGAGTTTGGACTTATCCAGAGGGCACTAGGGAGCCGTGAAGGGCTTCAAGCCGGGGAGGATCATGGTGAGTCGGGCGTTTTGGAGAGATATCTCTCTGGCTTATATATGGAGGGCGGATTGGAGGGAATGAAACTGGGGGGTAGGCAGCTGGGAGCGGGGGTGGGGACGAAAGAGGGGCCTTTGCACGAGGGAGGGAAGGAGGTGCAGGTGGGAGAGAGGCCCGGGAGGTAGAGCAAACGGGCCCTGAGACTGGCTGGCCATGGAGTGGAAGGGGGAGAAAAGTTCAGGACCAGGCCCTCTGTCCGGGAGATTGGACCCCAAAGGAGAAAGAAGCAGGTTGGGAAGATACTAAGCCCAGTGTGGATGCCCAGCAGCGAGGTCCAGGAGGTGCACAAACCCTGGTCTGGAGTTTAAGAGAGAAATTGAGGCTGGAGACCAAGATTTAAGGATAGTCAAAGATGATCATTGAGGGTGTGGGAGTTGGAGGTCTAACCCAGGGAGGATATGAAGGATCATTGGAGACGGACTGAATAGAACCCTGAAATGGGAAGGCAGGATTTGAGCAAAGGAATTCACACTGTCGACGAATATTGAGAAGGGCAGCCAGAGAGAGGAAAACAAGAAGAGTGTGGCATTACAGGCGTTTTGAGGAAAGGCCATTTCACTAGGGTGGCGCTATGTCACAAACCCCATCCACTACCTCCTGCATATAAGCAACAGCTTTCACACTGTATAGAATCATATTTGCTGGTTCATTCATTCATTCAATAATATTTCTTGAGTATCTAATATGTACCAGGCTCTGCTTAAGGTGCTAGAAATAAAACAATAGGCTGAGGCGGTGGCTCATGCCTGTAATCCCAGCACTTTGGGAGGCTGAGGTGGATGGATCACTTGAGATCAGGAGTTGGAGACCAGCCTGACCAACATGGTGAAACCCTGTTTCTGCTAAAAATACAAAATTAGCGGGGCGTGGTGTCACATGCATGCCTGTAGTCCCTGCTACATGGGAGGCTGAGGAAAATCGCTTGAACCCTGGTGGTGAAGGTTGCAGTGAGCCAAAATCGCACCATTGCACTCCAGCCTGGGCAACAACAGCAAAACTCCATCTCAGAAAAAAAAAAAAAAAAAAAGAAAAAAAGAAATACAACCATTAACAAGGCAGACAATCCCTACCTCCATAAAACTTACATTCTAGTTCATGGGGACACAATAAGGAAATACAGTGTAACTTGGTGATAAGTACTACGAAGGAAAAGAAAGCAGTGGCTGGGCATGGTGACTCATGCCTATAATCCCAGCATTTTAGGAGGCTGAGGCTGGTGGATCACTTGAGGCCAGGAGTTTGAGACCAGCCTGGGCCACATAATGAGATCCTGTCTCTTTTTCTTTTCTTTTCTTTTTTTTTTTGTTTAAGGTGGAGTCTTGCTCTGTCACCTAGGCTGGAGTGCAGTGGCGCGATCTTGGCTCACTGCAACCTCTGCCTCCCAGGTTCAAGTGATTCTCCTGCCTGTCTCCTGAGTAGCTGGGACTACAGGCATGTGCCACCATGTCTGGCTAATTTTTTGTATTTTTGGTAGAGACAGGCTTTCACCGTGTTAGCCAGGATGGTCTCGATCTCCTGACCTCATGCTCTGCCTGCTTCGGCCTTCCAAAGTGCTGGGATTACAGGCATGAGCCACCGCACCCAACAATCCTGTCTCTATAAAAATAAAAAATAAAATTGGCCAGGAATGGAGGTGGGTGCCTATAGTCCCAGCTACCTAGGAGGCCAAGGTGGGAAGATGGCTTGAGCCCAGGAGCTGCAGGCAGCAGCGAGCTATGATTGCACCGCCTGCACTGCAGCCTGGGTGGCAGAATGAGACCCTGCCGCAAAAGAAAAAGAAAAGAAAAAAAATTAAGATAGAAGACATAACACTGCATGGAGGCTAAGGAGAAGGATCCAGGAGGCATGGGATGTTGGTGGGACAGGAGTGGGAGGGAGCACAGCTGCAGAGATGTAGGGTGAAGACGGGAGAGTCCACTGCAGCGTGTGGGGTTTGCCCATTACGGAGGGAAGTGGGCCGGTCACAGTGCGTCTAGGACTCTGTGAAAATTCTCTTTCGTTTGCTTTTATTTTCTCACTGAAATACATATGGTTTTTGTGTGAACTACTTTCCTTTTATTTCTTCTTTATATGACAGTCAGGACATCATATTGATTCTTTTTGAATTTATGTGTGTAAGTAGGTTATATTATCTAGGAATTTTATTTCAGGATGGGAAAAGGGGGCAGTGTGAAAACACTCAATAGAAAAATAATGGCTGGGCATGGTGGCTCACACCTGCAATCCCAACATTTTGGGAGGCCGAGGCGGGTGGCTCATTTGGGGTCAGGAGTTCGAGACCAGCCTGGCCAACATGGTGAAACCGCCGCCCCCCCCACTGCCTCTACTAAAAATACAAAAGTTAGCTGGGTGTAGTGGCATGCGCCTGTAGTCCCAGCTACTCTGGAGGCTGAGGCCGGAGAATCCCTTGAACCTAGGAGGTGGAGGTTGCAGTCAGCTGACATCGCACCACTGCACTCCAGCCTGATGATAGAATGAGATCCTGTCTCAAAAAAAAAAAAAAAAAGAAGTGGGTACTAGTCTGACAGGGCTGAACTCCCTTGTTGCTTGGTAGGGCCTCATAGGCCATTGCAAGGCTAGTGAGGTGGAAAAAATGCAGAAAAAAAGTCACCATTACCCAGGTAGTTTGGGATTGCCCCTCTGGTCCCCATTTTGCCATTGGCATCATGGGTGTCAGTCTGACCAGCAAAAGACTAAACTCCCGTTTCCAGCTCTGCAATTCAAATATCTCAGATGAGGGTAAATCCAGGAAGGCTGACTGGAGGAGGGGAGGAGCAAAAGAATTCGTTTTTAGTATCTATTGCGTCTGCCATGCTGGAAGACATGTGAAGCTGTTTGTTTATTTTTATTTACTTTGTTGAGACAGAGTCTCATTCTGCTGCCCAGGCTGTAGTGCTGTGGCGTGATCTCAGCTCACTGCAACCTCTGCTTCTTGGATTCAAGTGATTCTCATGCCTCAGCCTCCTCAGTAGTGGGACTACAGGCTTGCACCACCACGCCTGGATAATATTTTCTATTTTTAGTAGAGACAGGGTTTAGCCATGTTGACCAGGCTGGTCTCCAACTCCTGGCCTCAGGTGATCCACCTGCCTCGGCCTCCCTAAGTGCTGGCATTACAGGTGTGAGCCACTACGCCCAGCCGATGTGAAGCTATGTATATCCTCACCACAATCTCAAATCAGAGAGATGAAGTTACTTAGCTAGGGTCACATAACAAGGCAGCTTTTGAACCCCCGATCTGAGCAATTTCCTGACAGGTCCTGGCAGATGAGAGGAAGGAAGGAGGGGGAGGAGCCCTCGGTGACAGTTGTCCCAGCAAGGGCATAAACAGGATGTGGTGGTGGATGAAACCTTCCTCCTGCACAGCCCGCTCCCCACAGCCCCGGGCCCCACCCCTGCAAGACAGCGGAACTGAGAAAAGAAGAGGCCTGTGGACAGAAAAACCATGGTTAGGGGCTAGGGGTCCTGTGGGAAGAGCTGGGGCTGGGGTTGGAGCTGGGGCTTGGAGGACACCTGGCGAAGGTCAGGCTACAGGACGCAAGTCATGGGCCGGGAAGGGGACCCAACTTTGGCAAACAGCCTGGCTGGGGGGAGAGAGACGGTGGCTTCAGGTTGAGGACTAGGAAGTGGCTCTCTATATTTCCTTGAGTGTCACCCAAGGGTCCCCATGGAGAGGGCAGGAACCCAGCCCCTGCTCTGCACCCCAAGCTGAGTGCCCTGGTGAGGGGTACCTACTCTGAAAGGGCACCTTTTCCCAATGTTCACAAATGCATCAGATGGGCTGGTGTGATGCTCCTCTTCTTTAGTGGATGGAGAAACTGAGGTTTGGGGAAGGGGTGTGGGCCAAGGCCAGGCCTTTTCAGCTCTTCCTGGGTCCCTCCGACAGTCTGATTCCCTGGTGGTGTGCGAGGTAGACCCAGAGCTAAGAGAAAAGCTGAGGAAATTCCGCTTCCGAAAAGAGACAGACAATGCAGCCATCATAAGTGAGTGGCGTCTTCCCCGGCGGAAGGATGGGAGGGTGGTGGTGGCGGCAAGTTGGGAGGACTGGGCTCGTGACCCCCATGGATCGGAGAGGGGCGTGTCTAACCCCTGTGTGCCACCCCTTCCCAGTGAAGGTGGACAAAGACCGGCAGATGGTGGTGCTGGAGGAAGAATTTCAGGTGAGTGGGGCTGTGGTTGGGACTGGGAGGTACACAGTGGGACTGGGAGACCCAAGTGGTTGGAACTAATACTAGGAGCCTGGCATGGGGGTCAGAAAGACCTGGAGATCGGTGGGGCGCAGTGGCTCATGCCTATAATCCCAGCACTTTGGGAGGCTGAAGTGGGTGGATCACTTAAGGTCAGGAGTTCAAGACAAGCCTGGTTAACATGGTGAAACCAAGTCTCTACTAAAAATACAAAAAGTTAGCTGGGCGTGGTGGCGTGTTCCTGTAATCCCAGCTGCTAGGGAGGTCGAGGCAGGAGAATTGCTGGAACCTGGGAGGTGGAGGTTGTGGTGAGCCGGTATCTTGCCACTGCACTCCAGCCTGGGCCATAGAGCGAGATTGTCTTAAAAAAAAAAGGAAAGAAAAAAGACCTGGAGGTTAAGTTCTAGCTCAGTCGTGACCCCCCTGTCACGACTGCCTGTATGCGTCTCTATTTCAGGTGAGGGGCAGGGGTAGAATGGGGAGAATAGTACTTACCTCATAGGTTTGTTTTCACATCCAATAATTAATTCTTGTAATGGGTTTAGAACAACTCCTGGCACTTAGTAGATGCTCAGTAAAGTGATGATGATGATGATCTTATTAATGATGACAATAATACTTTATTGGCATTGAAATGAAAGAATTTCCATATAAGTTAAAATGGTAGCTGGGCACGGTGGCTCACATCTGTAATCCCAGCACTTTGGGAGGCTGAGGCAGGAGGATGCCTTGAGCCCAGGAGTTTGAGACCAGCCTGGGCAACATGATAACACTCTGACTCTATTAAAAACACAAAAATTAGCCAAGCATGGTGGCGTACGCCTGTGATCCCAGCTATTCAGAAGGCTGAGGTGGGAGGGTTGCTTGAGGCCAGGAGTTTGAGACCAGCCTGGGCAGCAAAGCAAGACCTCATTTCTACGAAAAAATAAACAAAAACCCAACCAACCAACCAACAAACAAAGGGTAGACCTCATTCTGGTGGCCTCACGTCTTTATCAGTGACAATGATAATAAGTCTTATTTCCCTAGTGTTGTGATAAGGATTTATCAGGGAATCCACCGAGACTGAGGACTAGGGATCCCTCAGGCCCTCTGAAAGACAGTCTAGTGAAGCAGATAGGATTCAAATCTCAACTTTGCCACTTTCTATCTGTGCCACTTTGGAAAGTGCCTTAGCACCTCTGGGCCTCAATTTTCTCAGCTGTCTAGTGGGCATAATGGTAGGACCTACCCCACAGGCTTATGGGATAGTTCCATGAATGAATCCATGTGTTTTTAGTAGAACAGTGTCTTGGCACATGGTAAGTGCTCACCTAAAGGTGGTCATTCTTTTATTTTTTTTGAGATGGAGTCTCACTCTGGCACCCAGGCTGGTGTGCAGTGGTGCAATCTTGGCTCACTGCAACCTCTGCCTCCTGGGTTGGAGTAATTCTTCTGCCTCAGCCTCCCAAATAGCTGGGATTACAGGCATGCACCACCATGCCCAGCTAATTTTTGTATTTTTAGTAGAGATGGGGTTTCGCTATGTTGGCCAGGCTGGTTTTGAATTCCTGACCTCAGATGGTCTACCCACCTTGGTCTAGGAAGTCCTAGGGTGCTGGGATTACAGGCGTGAGCCACCGCACCTGGCAGAGTTTTGCTCTTTTTTGCCCAGGCTGGAGTGCTATGGCCCCATCTTGGCTCACTGCGACCTCCGCCTCCTGGGATTTCAAGCAATTCTCTTGCGTCAGCCTCCCGAGTAGCTGGGATTATAGGTGCACGCCACCACTTCCGGCTAATTTTGTATTTTTAGTAGAGACTGGGTTTCACTATGTTGGCCAGGCTGGTCTCGAACTCCTAACCTCAGGTGACCTGCCTGCCTCGGCCTCCCAAAGTGCTGGGATTACAGGTATGAGCCACCTCGCCCGGCTTCATTCTTTTTCTTTTCTTCTGTTTTCTTGCCTCAGAACATTTCCCCAGAGGAGCTCAAAATGGAGTTGCCAGAGAGACAGCCCAGGTATCCTGGGGAAAGAAACGGTTGGATCAGGCCACGAGGGGAGAGGTGATGTTGGAGGAGCAGGCTGAGGAACTGCTTGAGTTCCAGCCCTATTTATGAACTTAGAATCTCTGTGTTTGGCCAGGTGAGGTGGCTCACAGCTGTAATCCCAACACTTTGGGAGGCCAAGATGGGTGGATCACTTGAGGTCAGGAGTTCAAGCCCAGCAACATGATGAAACCAGATCTCTACTAAAAATACAAAAATTAGGCTGGCATAGTGGTGTGCGACTGTAATCCCAGCTACTTGGGAGGCTGAGACAGGAGAATCGCTTGAACCCAAGAGGCGGAGGCTGCAGTGAGCTGAGATTGGACTATTGCACTCTAGACTGGTGACACAGCAAGACTCCATCTCAACAGAAAGAATCTGTGTTTGAGGACAAGAGTTCACACCCTAGAACTTTTTGTCTGTACAGCAGTATTTTATTGCAGAATTTTACACTGATAATTTATATATGGTACTGGTTTAGAGTCTGCTTTTTTTTCTTTCTGTGGGGTTTTTGTCTCAATGTTACACTGGCTTCCTTTTGTTTTTTGAGACAGAGTCTTGCTCTGTTGCCCAGGCTGGAGTGCAGTGGCCTGATCTCGGCTCACTGCAACCTCTACCTCCTGGGTTCAAGTGATTCTCCTGCCTCAGCCTCCCGAGTGCACTATCACATCCGGCTGAGTTTTATATTTTTAGTAGAGAAGGGGTTTCATCATGTTAGCCAGGCTGGGGTCTCGAACTCCTGACCTCAAGTGATCTGCCTGCCTTGGCCTCCAAAAGTGCTGGGATTACAGGTGTGAACCACCATGCCTGGCCGAGGACCTTGTCTCTATTAAAAAGAAAAAAAGTTAGCCAGGCATGGTGGCATGTGCCTGTGGTTTCAACTAGTTGGGACGCTGATGTGGGAGGATCACTTGAGTTCAGGAAGTTGAGGCTGCGAGTGAGCCAAGATAGCATTCCTGCACTCCAGCCTGGGTGACAGAGCAAGACCCTGTCTCAAAAAAATCGAAAGAATTTTCCTTCATTTTCAATGTTTGGGAACACTTTAGGTAGCAAATGAATTATTGTTAATATTATTATTGTTATTTTATTTAATAAAATTTTTAGAGGCAGGGTCTCGCTGTGTCACCCAGGCTATTGGGCAGTGCTGTGATCCATGCTCACTGCAGCCTCCAACTCCTGGGCTCAAGCCATCCTCCTGCCTCAGCCTCCCAAGTCACTAGGACTAAGGCGGCACCATCGCACCCTGCTAAAGGCATGACTTGGCTTTTAATGATAGGTAGAATCCTGGGCGAAGTCACATGAGCCTGGTGCTTTTTTTGGTGGAAGAGCTCTTTGACTATTTCTATGAAAACGGGTCTGTTAAGATTTTTCATCTTGACTGAATTCATTTTGGGTGTCTAGGATTTTGATCCTCAATCCCAGGCTGTAGGACTCAGCCATGATCAGCTTCGTGGGGATGTGATAATTATGAAGGGCCCCAAACCCAGAAGGGGGCCTCACATGTGGGGGTTAATGGTCACACTCTTTATAGTTTTATCTTTGAATTTCTGTTTTGTGTGAAGTCAGATGGGACAATGGGTTTCACACAGATGTGCTGGGATTTGGAGCTAGGTTCACAGGCAGTCCACCACCTGGCTGCCTCCCTGAACAGGTTCTCCGCCACCCACTCTCTGCACCCACCCATCCAGTAATCATCGCTATCCTTCAGCTTCCTGCTGGTGTGGGGAGGGTCAGGGTCCAGTAGGCACCCATTGCCTGACAAGTTACAGGGTGTTCCTGTGAGCATCTGCTCTGTCTCCTCATACCCAAGGGAGCACCACTTTAAATAGCAAATGAAAAAGGACTGGCTGAGCATAGTGGCTCGCACTTGTAATCTCAGCTTTTTGGGAGGCCAAGGTGGGAGGATTGCTTGAGGCCAGGAGTTCAAGACCAGCCTGGGCAACATAACAAGACCCGCCCCCCCATTTCTACTAAAATTTTTTTTTTAAAGGCCAGGTGCCCAAGTGACTCATACCTGTAATCCTAGCACTATGGGAGGCAAAGGTGGGCAGATCACTTGAGCTTAGAAGTTCGAGGCCAGCCTGGCCAACATGGTGAAACCCATCTCTGCAAAAAATACAGAAAACATTAGCTGGGTGTGGTGGCATGTGCCTATAGTCCCAGCTACTTGGGGGCTGAGACAGGAGAATCCCTGAGCCTGGGGGGGTCGAGGCTTCAAGGACTTGAGACCATGTCACTGTATTCTAGCCTGGGTGACAAAGTGAGACCCTGTCTCAAAAAAAAAAGAAAAATTAACTGGACATGGTGGTGTGCACCTATAGTCCCAGCTACTCTGGATGCTGAGGTAGGAGGATCGCTTGAGCCCAGGAGTTCAAGACTGCAGTGAGCTGGGATCATACCACTGCACTCCAGCCTGGGCAACAGAGTGAGGCTCTGTCTCTAATAAATAACAAAAGACCATGATCAGTCTACAGAGAGACTACAAAAGAAAGGAAAACAATTTTCCTGCTTTTTGAACACGAAGCCCCACATTTTCATTTTGCAGCAGGCTTGGCAGATTATGTAGCCATCCCTGGTCACAGTGCACTGGGGTTCTAGTGCACAGGATGGTGTCGCATAGTGGGCGAGCACTAACACTCTGGCACTGACTTTCCCAGGTTCAGATCTCTTCCCTATCCATAGAACCTGGGGCAAGTGACTTTGGGCCTCAGTTTTCCCATGTGTACGATGGGGATATTAACAGCACCTATATTATAAAGTTATTGTGAGTCAAATGAGCACGATTATTGTTGTTATTATTATTTGAGATGGAGTTTCGCTCTTGTTGCCTAGGCTGGAGTGCAATGGTACGATCTCGGCTCACTGCAACCTCCGCCCCCCGATTTCAAGCAATTCTCCTGCCTCAGCCTCCTGAGTAGCTGGGATTACAGGGGCCCACCATCACACTCAGCGAATTTTTGTATTTTTGGTAGAGAAGGGTTTTCACCATGTTGGCCAGGATGGTCTCAAACTCCTGACCTCAGGTGATCCACCTGCCTCAGCCTCCCAAAACACTGAGATTACAGGTGTGAGCCCCATGCCCACCCTATCATTATTTTAATCATTTGTTGTGTTTGAGGTCAGTACCCCGGCTCCCAGACATCAATCCTGGGTTCTCAGACTCAGCCAACATTTCAAGGCTGTGGACTCAGGTAATGGTTGTTGAGCCTGGGCTGCAGGCCAGAGTCCTGATTGTCAATTCCCTTTCACGGTAGGTTCGTGGTTTACAGCTACAAGTATGTGCACGAGGATGGCCGAGTGTCCTACCCTTTGTGTTTCATCTTCTCCAGCCCTGTGGGTGAGACACAGCTCTATTCTCCTCAGGAGAGGGTGTCTGATTCTCTGTGGTGTGTGTGTGTGTGTGTGTCTGTGTGTGAGTGCAGATGTGTGCATGTGGGTGCATGTGTGTGACTGTGTGAATGTGTGCAGGCACCTGTGTGAGTGTGAGGATGTGACAGCCTGTATGTGCCTGTGTGAGGTGTGTGTGCGATGCATGCGTGATGTGTGAGGGCACAGAACTAGAGGTGGGGACTCAGATTCACCAAGAGCCCATCCGTCCTCAGTCCTGGGGCCTAAACCAACCCACCTTTTTCTTTTACCTAGAAATCTCCATCTGGCCCCTAAACCATCTCCAGAGACCCTCAGAATAACTCGACACCCCCAAGCCAACCTAGAAACTGAGTACAGTGCAGGGACCCCCTTAGAAGAGCTCCTAGGACCCATGGAAAACAGCAGGCCCTTCAGGACATTACTAGAGCTTTTGAGGACATGCCTGGGTCCCCACTCATTGCCCTTCTCCTCTCTTCCACGCAGGTTGCAAGCCAGAACAACAGATGATGTATGCAGGGAGTAAAAACAGGCTGGTGCAGACAGCAGAGCTTACGAAGGTTCAGCCTGGGGCGGGGCTCCACAGTGTTAGGGAGGGGTGGTCTGCGGTCCTGGGTCTGAGGGAGGACAGGCTACAGTCCTCACTGTCTCAGTTTTTTTTTTTCGAGATGGAGTCTCGCTCTGTCACCCAGGCTGGAGTGCAGCGGTGTGATCTCGGGTTACTGCAACCTTCACCTCCTGGGTTCAAGCGATTCTTCTGCCTCAGCCTCCCAAGTAGCTGGAACTGCAGGCCTATGCCACCATGCTTGGCTAAATTTTGTATTTTTAATAGAAATGGGGTTTCTCCATATTGCCTTTTTTTTTTTTTTTAAAGAACTGGGTCAGCTGGGTGAGGTGGCTCAAGCCTGTAATCCCAGCACTTTGGGAGGCTAAGGTGGGCATATCACGAGGTCAGGAGATTAAGACCATGTGGGTAACATGGTCAAACCCGGTCTCTATTTAAACAACAAAACGCAAAAAATCAGCCGGGCGTGGAGGTACATGCCTGTAGTCCCACTACTTGGGAGGTTGAGGCAGGAGAATCGCTTGAATCCAGGAGGTGGAGGTTCCAGTGGGCCGAAATCATGCCACTGCACTCCAGCCCGGCTGACAGAGTGAGACTCCGTCTCAAAAACAAAAGAAACTGGGTCTCGCATGGTTGCCCAGGCTGGAGTGCAGTGGCACCACCTCAGCTCACTGCAACATCCCTCCCGGGTTCAAGGGATTCTCCTGCCTCAGCTTCCTAAGTAGTGGGACTACAGATGTCCACCACCACACCTGGCTAATTTTTGTATTTTTAGTAGGGTCAGGGTTTCAACATGTTGGCCAGGCTGGTTTCGAACTCCTGACCTCAAATGATCCACCTGCTTTGGCTTCCCAAAGTTCTAGGATTACAGGCTACTCTTCCAGTTCTTGAGTGGATCATAATGTTGAGACCTCTTTCTGCCCAGGTGTTTGAAATCCGCACCACTGATGAGCTCACCGAGGCCTGGCTCCAAGAAAAGTTGTCTTTCTTTCGTTGATCTCTGGGCTGAGACCTGAATTCCTGATGTCTGAGTCCTCAAGGGGATTGGGGACTTGGATTCCTAGGACCTGAACAAGAAAGACTTTAAATAAATTTAAAAATGCAAAAATTCAGAGATTCTCAGTTCGGACTCAGTTTCTGCCTCTCAACTGGGCTCTAGCCGACGGTTCCTGCAGTATCAGCCTTCGGCCAGCAGGGGGCGGGCTGACCTAGTGGAATGAGAGCTGGGTCCCGGGAGGGAAGGAGGATACCTGTTTCTTGGAAAGGGAAGGGCCTGTAGGATTTTCTTGGGGGGTGGAGGGATGGATGGGCGAGGCCTGGGTCTCCTGGAAGTATTGGGGGGAATATCTGGATCTACGGAATGGTCACTCTCAAGGGGAACAAGGACCGCTGAGAATAAAGGAGGCAAACTGCCTCTTTTCCCTCTCCTCCCCACCTCTGGCGAAGGGGGGGTGTGTGTGGGGGGGGTGTGGGTAGCAGGCATCACCAAATGCGACTTTTCTTCACTGAGCCCCTAGGTAGGAAGAATTTAAATGCCAAAGAGGTTTGAACATAAATGCTTCAAGATCTCAGGAGCTGCTGGGGGTGGATGGTTTGTATGGTTGGGTAGGCCTGAGGGGCCAGGGCTGGAGAAGGTGAAGTCCAACCTGGGCCCTCAGTCGACCCCTAGGGGTGTGCAATTGAGGAGACAGGGAAGGGACACCTGCCCCCATCTGAAGATTCTTCTTTTCTTTCTTCTGGCATCTCTGGACATCGAACTTTCTCAGGCTTTCTGTGTCTGTCTCTGAGGGACATTGATTAAGCACCCACAGTGTACCGAGCTCTGAGAATTCTGAGATGGGCAGGTCTTCACACAGATGAATCACACCCTTTCTGTCTCTCTGCTTCTCTTCCATGTTTCTGATTGTTCCCCTCTCTGTCCCCTGTTTCAGGGACGTGGGAACTCCCTCCCCCCCACCCCTTTTCAGGTTCCCGGTAGAGAGGTGGCTGTTGCCATGGCAACAGTGACACAGTGACCTTGGGCCTGGGCTGCCGTCCCCCAACCTTGGCATTCCCACAGGTAGGGTCCAAAAAGCCCAGCTCCAAGCCCTCCCAGCCTTAACACAGCATCCCCTTACCACTCCGCTCCACCCTATCTCCTGCCCACTCACCCTCAATCAGGGCAAGTCCTTTGCATGAGGGATTTGGGATAGAATCACTCTACACTGGTCCATAAAGAAATTCACCCTGCCCTAAATTCTCTGGAAGGTTGGGTTGAGCTCCTCTGCTTTTCACCAGTGCCCTTTTCCTATCCCCATCTCTCTGTCCCTCCCTCTAATCACAGGCCCAGTCCCTGAGGGCAGGAGATGGAGGCGGAGGAGAGCTAGAGACACGAGGGGATCATTCAATTAAATGGACAAGGAACTCCTGGCCTGCAGAGGTCAGAGAGGCAGAGGGACTCATCCAAGGTCATGCAATTACATGATCAAATGAATACTAATAGCTGACCCTCCTCTTGAGGGCTTCCTATGTACCAGGAACTTCTGTAAGCATTTTATAAGCATGAGCTCATTTAATTCTTGCAATACTTTATTAAAAAGGTACTATTATTCTTCCCAACTTAAAGATGAAAAACTGAGGCACAGAAGCCAAAGGCACCCGTGGTTTGTACAGTTGGAATTCTAACCCCAGGCTATCTTGGGCTCAATGGCCACACCCTCTCTTAGGCAAGAGATTTAGGGAATCACCTCTTCCTCCTCTTCCTCCTTCTCCTCCTCCTCTTCCTCCTCCTCCTCCGTGGTACTCCCTTCCTCCATAGTGAAACTTCTGTTCCATCCAGGCTTGTGATTACAAACGATCCGATCAGAAAGAGCCATGCACTAGGACTCGCCCGATCAGGAGCAAAGCATCGGAAAGCAGGGGCCAATCAGAGAAGGCAGCTCACAGGCGCAGTCCAATACAGAGTGAGTATGGCTAGGGATTGTGGAAGGACCAATCAGAGAGACCAGAACAGATTGCACCATCCAACGAGGAGTCAGTATAATGGGGCGTGTCTTCGGGTTTCGAGCTACTCTCCGGAGAGGCAGTATAAACTGGGGACCGCCTCCTCTAGTTCCACCAACCTATCCTCTAAGCGCCCACAGATCCAAGCTCCCTGATGTTTGAGCCTGGGCCCTATACCTGGGGGACTTCCTAACTTTGACTGTGAGCAGGGCTCATGTTGGAGAAGTGGAGGCTGGTCTTTAGGACAGAGCTGAGCGGGCTGGACCTAGCTTAGGCCTCAGAGACCCAATTTAGGCAGAGAGGCGGGATGCTTTCGGGGAGGAGCAAGGTGCACGGGTGGGGCTCAGGCTGAGGGTGTGTGTGTGGCAAGGGGCTAGGCTGAGGAGTTCTGAATATTTTATACTTGGGGTGGTCTCTAAGATAGAGACCGAGCGGTAGGGCTCTGCCGGAATGGTTAGCTTAAAAAGGGCTGGAGTTTTTTGATTGGGGTCGGGGGCCTAATAGTCTAGGGGTGGGGCCTAGGCTTGGGGCAGGGCCTGAAGAATGGGATTGGTAGAAGGTCTGTATTAGGTTTGTGGCAGGAATTAGAGCTCCAGGGAAAGAATTAAGATATTTACTTCAACCTGTTGCCCTTTTTTCAGGCCAACTCCCACATTCCTTGACCTCATGAAACATTCTCCCGCTGCTGGGTATACCCTTTTCTTCTAGGGAACCTGGACTAGAAGGTCGTATTTATTCCTTCCTGGGGTCCCTGAAGTGAGTCTGGAGCCAGCCTAGCTTTTCCCAAGACGCATAAGAACATATGTTGGGCCAGGCTGGTCTTGAACTCCTGACCTGCAATCTCAGCACTTTGGAGAGCGAGGCAGGAGGATCACCTGAGTTCATGAGTTCGAGACCAGCCTGGTCAACATGGTGAAACCCTATCTCTACTGAAAATACAAAAAGTAGCTGGGCGTGGTGGTGCATGCCTGTAATCTGAGCTACTCGGGAGGCTGAGGCAGGAGAATAGCTTGAGCCCAGGAGGCAGAGGTTGCAGTGAGCCGAGATCACGCTGTTGCACTTCAGCCTGGGCAACAAGAGTGAAACTCTCAATAACAACAACAAAAAGTGTGCATGTTGGCTGGTGCAGTGGCTCACACCTTGTAATCCCTACACTTTGTGGGGGGCCGAGGCTGGAAATCTTAGAGGCTGGGAGTGTGCAACCAGCCTGGACAACATAAGGAGACCCTGTCTCTACAAAAAATAAAAAATTAGTTGGATGTGGGGGTGAGTGCCTGTAGTTGGGACGCTGAGGTGGATCACCTGAGCCTGGGGAGGTCGAGGCTGCAGTAAGCCATGATCAAGCCACTGCACTCCAGTCTGGGTGACAGAGGGAGACCCTGTCTTAAAAAAGAACACCTGTTTACTGAATTCCTGGGTAGCAGTCACTGTTCTGGGCACCGGAGGATGTTGGTGTCCCTGCCAACATAGACACCTCGGGAGGCTTACATTTCAATGACTAGACAGTAAATAAATAATTAACAATAGGTCAACAAACAAAATCCTTAAGAGGTGACAAAGGACAGGCGCAGTGGTTCATGCCTGTAATTCCAGCACTGTGGGAGGCCAAGGCCAAGGAGGGAGGAAAGCTTGAGTCCAGGAGTTCGAGACCACCCTGGATGACATAGCAAGACTTCGTGTCTTTTTTTCTTTTTAAAATACATTTTTAATAATAAAAAAAAGAGAGTGGTAAGTACTATAAGGGAAATTAATAAGGTGATGTGCTAGACAGAAATGGTGGTGGGGCTGTTTTTTTACCACCAGAAGAGTCCTGCTTCTCCACTCCCCAACACTGACTATGAAACATTTCAAACATGGAGCCAAGTTGAAAGAACTATTTATGTGTGTGTGTGTGTATATATATATTAAAGTTTATTAGAGATGGCGTCTTGCTATGTTGCCCGGCTGCTCTTGAACTCCTTGCCTGAAGTGATCCTCCCACCTTGGCCTCCCAAAATGCTGAGATAGCAGGTATGAGCCACCACGCCCAGCCTGAGTTGAAATATTTTTATTTATTTGTTTATTTATTTAATAAAGACGGGGTTTCACCATGTTGGTCAGGCTGGTCTTGAATTCCTGACCTCAGGTGATCTACCCTCCTTGGCCTCCAAAGTGCTTGGATTACAGGTGTGAGCCACCACGCCCGGCCAATTTTTTTTTTTTTTTTTGAGACAGAGTCTTGGTCTGTCACCCAGACTGGAGTGCAATGGCATGATCTCTGCTCATCACAACCTCTGCCTTCTGAGTTCAAGTGATTCTCCTGCCTCAGCCTCCAGAGCAGCTGGGATTACAGGCACGTGCTACCACGCCCAGTAAAATTTTGTATTTTTGGTAGAGACGGGGTTTCACCATGTTGGCCAGGCTGGTCTCGAACTCCTGACCTCGTAATCTGCCTGTCTTGGCCTCCCAACGTGCTGGGATTACAGGTGTGAGCCACCGTGCCTGGCCAAGTTGAAATAATTTTATGGCGAACACTCATATACGCATCACCTAGATGCCACCACTGACATGTTACTGTATTACTTTATTATAGATCCATCCATCTATCCATCTAGCAACCCCCTCCTCCTCCTCTTTCTTCTTCTTTTTAATGTATTTCAAAGTAATATCAGAACGCTGGTTGGGGGCCCAGGTAGGAATGGTGTGTGTAAATTAGGGATGGAAAAGGAAGTTCCTTCTGAAGGGATTACATTAAAGACCTTCATGAAAAGAAAAAACCAGCCATGGAAAGGGGAGAAGAGTGTATATGCTCAGGAGCTGCTATGGGCTGGTGTGTTGGAGGAATAGAAAAGTCATCATAGAAGCTGAACAAGGGGCCAGGCATGGTGGCTCACACCTGTAATCCCAGCACTTTGAGAGACTGCGGCGGGCAGATCACTTGAGGCCAGGAGTTCCAGACCAGCGTGGTCAACATGACAAAACTCCATCTCTACTAAAAATACAGAAATTAGCCAGGCATGGTGGTGGGCGCCTGTGGTCCCAGCTACTCAGGCTGAGGTGGGAGAATCGCTTGAGCCCGAGAGGCAGAGGTTGCATTGAGCCAAGATCATGCCATTGCACTCCAGCCTGGCCTGTCTCAAAAAAAAGTAAA